AACTAACAGAGGCTAGTAAATAAACATATATGAAATATAATTATTACAGTGAACCCAAGCAGGAAGAAGCTACAATTAAATGCTAAAACTTAATAAGGGCGATGCTTTGTGGGAAAACAAATGATACAGGGCAGTGTTTGGGGACCCTGGTTATAATTGAATAAATTGCACAGTTGCATTGCACTTTGGATATAATTCTAATCCTTTCAACTTCAACACATTTCAATCATCAGGCAAGAGAGGGAGTCATTTTAAACTAGACATTCTTTTTTTTTTTTTTTTTTTTTTTAAAGGCATTTTTTTTTTTTTTTTTTTTTTTTTAAAGGCATTATTTTCTTTTACACCATAACTAAGGTACAATTTTTTGTTGGTGTTTTAAAACATCATTCTAATTGTGGTGTCAACGTTGAAAATTTAATACAGGATCTGCACATAATCACTAGAAAAAGGCTATAAGGGATTTCTTTTTTACCTTGCCAATTAATGGTTCCAAAAGGTTTATTCAGTAATCTATTTTTAAAAAAATTGTTTAAATAAATATTGACAAAAATATTTATTTTCCATTACATTCTTTGAGTATTGGTGATGTCCTAATCTTCAGAACCTTTTCAAAGGGTCTGTAACATGTCTTGGGTTAGGGGTCAGAGAAATGCAAATCTTCTTTAAATAAGTACAACTTAAATAAATGGTGCAACACTTATTGCCAGGGGGATCTTAGGAATGAGAGCTTGAAATAATGTTTTTAAATTGAATTCTAAGTGTTTTGACAGCCAACTGAAGGTGAGCTTAAATAAGTGTTTGGTATTAAAAGTTATGAGATATACAACACAACATACACACACGTGTTGATAAGTAATATTAATTTAACAGTCACATCAATAACTCATTCTATCCACTGTCAAAGAATTTAAAATATTGCACAGTAATAAATATTTTAAATTATGAAATTAAAAGCTATTAATTATCAATACAATATTAAAATCCGTGAGTTCTTTTTTTAAACTGGGTTAACTGGCTCAAATTAGATAAGCAAAAACCACAACATTAGCAACTATTTTAAAGTTGGGGCTTATAAGGGTTAACAGATGGAACATATGAGTTTTTAACCCAGTTTAATTCAGTTTTAGCATGGGTTACCTAATGAGTTCATCTTTAGGTCATTTCTCATTAACCTGCACAGGTCTAAATTTGGCCTTGACTAGCAGATGAACTTTACAAACTATGCCTGGTTATAGAAAGGCACAGAAGCTTTCTAAAATTGAACTTGACCTTGGTGAACTCCTGTGGTATATTAAGGCAAGAAATACCTGCAGTCTAAAACTGCTTTCAGATGTGACTCAAATCTAAAGATTGCCAGCTTAAATTTAATCAAAGAATGAGAGTAAAAAGGAAAAATAATATTTTTGTCAAATTTAAAAATTGTTACTGGCTATGTGTTGAATAAAAACTTCAAATGGATTTCTTAGAAGAGAAAAATGGCTGTATTAAATACCGGTACATAAAATACATGAGTGCAGTTTCTTATATGTACATATAATGTTATAATTTGACTTGTTCATTTATGAATAACAAACCTGTTGTAGTTGACCTTGTGTGGCAAAACATCATAAACGGTTTGCATTAAGTTTTAAACAAATATATTTTTCACAGAAATTGCCATTAGGTGCAGAATGGAAAATTAAGATCTTAGATAATAAAGATCTTGAAGAGTACAAAAAATAATTTCTATAAAAATTACCTTAAAGCTCATCCAAAAGACGACAGAGCATGGCTCTTTTAAAGACACAGAGATGATAGCATGTATCTTTATTTTTAGTGAAAGTCTACTCAGAGTGTGATGAAAGTCTGCTTAGAGCAGCGGTTCTCAACCTGTGGGTCGCGACCCCTTTGTGGGTCCCGGGACCCTTTTCCAGGGGTCGCCTAAGACCATCTGAAAACATATATCCTTACAGCTATGAAGTAGCAACGAAAATAATTGTGTGGCTGGGGGGTCGCCATGACACGAGAAACTGTATTAAGGGGTCGTGGCACTAGAAAGGTTGAGAACCACTGGCTTAGAGTGTGATGAAAGTCTACTCAGATTGGGATGAAAGTCTACTCAGAGTGTGATGAAAGTCTACTCAGAGTGTGATGAAATTCTACTCAGAGTGTGATGAAATTCTAATCAGATTGTGATGAAATTCTACTCAGAGTGTGATGAAATTCTACTCAGATTGTGATGAAAGTCTACTGTGTGGTGTCAAACAGTTGAACATTAATAATAACTCATATTTAAAATAAATTTGATTGCAGTCATTAAAGGTACTGACCAGCCACATTAAAGATACTGACCAGCCAAATTAAAAGTACTGACCAGCCACATTAAAGGTACTGACCAGCCAAAGTAAAGATACTGAAAGATACTGACCAGCCAAATTAAAGGTACTGACCAGCCACATTAAAGGTACTGACCAGCCAAATTAAAGGTACTGAAAGGTACTGACCAGCCAAATTAAAGGTACTGACCAGCCACATTAAAGGTACTGACCAGCCACATTAAAGATACTGACCAGCCAAATTAAAGGTACTGACCAGCCAAATTAAAAGTAATGACCAGCCACATTAAAGATACTGACCAGTCAAGAGACATCTTCAACAGTGATTAACCAACAAAGTAAAGGTTTATCAAGTGAAATTAGATTTTAAAATGTTAAAATAAAACATAAATCCCTATTGAACTGTCATAAACCCATGTTGAACTGTCATAAATCCATATCTAAATGTCATAAACCTATGTTGAACTGTCATAAATCCATGTTGAAATGTCATAAACCCATGTTGACCTGTCATAAATCCATATCTAAATGTCATAAACCTATGTTGAACTGTCATAAATCCACATTGAACTGTCTCATCACTGGCTGTGTTATGGACAAACTATTTCATGCTGTCATTGTATGAAGCCCTGTTGATCATCTGAGAGGAACCCTTTTTTAAACTTGACAAATAGATTGCTCAAATAAACTAAAATGCAATCAAAGACAATTTCCTTGTTCAACAACTTTCCTTGGGATGGGCTATATATTATGATTATAATATCATACATTCTAGTTACTGGTATGACGGTTTTACTTTGTATTGCCTCATATTTTGGATTGTCTCAAGTGAACATAAGCACAAGGTTTCTGTACTGGGTACAGTATCAAACTATCAAAGAACTAAACCTAGGAAATATATAGCTGAGACAAATAATGGGCACATAATATGTGCTAGCATACACTGACATTAATGCTCTTATACATATATTTTATATGTGCCATGTATTTGTTTCTTTATGGAGGGCAATTTTAATTACAAGAGACAGCCAATAATGCATATGGTTAACATAAGGATAACTGATGTCACAATAGTCATAATAAGTTCATCATCTTGAAAAATTGATAGGTTGTGTAGCACTAAGTAGCAGGGGATTACAGGTTGTGTTACACTAAGTTACAGGGATGTAAATAATCTACATTTTGATGTTGATATCAAACAAGATCACATCAACTTCTTGACATCATCACACACAAAATTACATCAAATTTGGTCCTTACTGAGACATGGAATATTTTATTACAATTTTTGCCACAGTTCATCAACATTTAAAATAACCCCACAAGCTACAAGCATTAAATGTACATATATTGCAGGCATGTTACAAAAATATACATCTTTAAAACCATTGAATCACATTGTTATAAAATATGGATGTACTGACTCCTCAGCTTTAGACGTAAAGTTTTAACCAAAGCCTAATGATTACATGTTGACAACAATGTCAAGTTCTTGAGAGTTTATGAACATACTGTCTGCCTTGGTTAATTACTTTATCAATCTCCCTTATCTCATATGTTTTATAAAAAAAAATGTGAAGATCTCAAAATGTTTTATAGCTAAAAATATTTTAAAAACTGAACTGCCATTTTTGCTTCAAGAACTAGAGCAGAGAACTCAGAAACTGCAGTGGACTGCCAACTGTAAATTATACCAAAGCTAAGGGTAAAAGAAGATTGAGGGAAGAAGTTCATGTATATATTAAAAATAGCACATGGTGAACAAAATTAAATAAAGAAATTTTTTACATGACAAAACAGGAAACCAAAAATGTGTTTAAAACTCATTAAACTTACTTTCTTCTTTTTTTATATAATTTACTAATGATAATGGAAGCTACAATTTTAGTTTTTTTAAGAAGAAAAGAAATGCCTTGTGCCATTTAAGTTTGTTCAAGACTTACTTCCCTTTAAGTTTGTTCAAAGGCTAACTTCCCTTTAAGTTGGTTTACATTTTACAGAAAAAGCACACACACACAAAAAAGACAGGCCCACAAATTTCAATTTTTGAAATAGAAAAACCAATAAATACCCTGTTTTCTGTGGACTTGGCTAAAGATTTTCAAATCTATATTTTTAACATTGTAAACTTGTAAATCCAAAAGATTGTAAAAAAATAATACCATAATATGAATGATCCCTATCAATTATAAATATTTGGAGCAGACAGGCTTAAATAAGTTCTTGGTGACTTAAATATTCAGTCTAGGAAGGAAGCCTTGATTGTTAGAATGATGGCTTCAAACAATATAAGAATAACTAGAATGAAACAAGATGTTAATTTACATGGGTAAACAGTTTAATTTAGCATAAGGAGGCATCCATTAATTATGTCAAACAGTTTGGGGTGTGGGCTAAGATTAATTGAGGTCACAATCCTATTTTCTGTGATAAAATTCTAATCTTGAAAATTTACAGTTTATTACTTATTTTACTTTTTTTTTTTTTTTCAGTTTAATGGGTGTAAATAGACATATAATCTTGAGTCTTCTAATAATGTAAGATTTATGTAATATATGTCTAGTCTGTCTGTGTACTGGGCATTAATTGAGGTCACAATCCTATTTTCTGTGATAAAATTCTAATCTTGAAAATTTACAGTTTATTACTTATTTTACTTTTTTTTTTTTTTTTCATTTTAATGGGTGTAAATAGACATATAATCTTGAGTCTTCTAATAATGTAAGATTTATGTAATATATGTCTAGTCTGTCTGTGTACTGGGCAAATGGCTGGTCAGAATGTTAGCACACTTTGTTAGGGCAAGAGAAGTCAAAAGGTGGCCTGCCTCCACCTGTAGATTCTCATTGTTGCAAATGACCAGGGCGGTGTGTTGCCATCAAGTTGTAGGTATGGAACAAGGACAAGGGTCAAGTGATAGGGGCAGTCATAGATAAATTATGTTGATATAGTAAGAATATGATAGTCTAAGAATTAGGAGCATGTAAGTGAGTAACACTGTAACTGTTTGAATATTGCTTTTGGTCTGAGATTGGGGAAAAGGAAATCAAATCTGGCCACCAATCCAACACATGCCACAACTTAAAAAACAACAACAAAGCAATCAGTTATCAATAGAGTGATTTTTAAAGATATTCAGAGACAGTTTCACTTTTTAATACACCAAGAAATGGAAAAATAAAACAATTATCAGTTGATATTTGAGGCCTTCGTAAAGGCTTATCCAAGTAGGCGTCAGCAGGATACCATAGTCAAAAAGAAGTCAATTAAATAAATGATGAATGACTGGAAGAAAGAGGATAACTTGTCAGCACAAGTAGGTATTAGCTAAATATGGTGCAATAGCACACAGAAATAAAGGAAAACTGCTTGGTTTCTGGGCAGGTCATGCTTTGAAAAATGAAACAGCTTCTTGTAATTTGGCTGCAAGTTGAAGAAGAAGAAATAAAATTTGCAACACTAAATGAGAAAAAACAGAAAAATGTAGACTTGTTGGAAGCTGGTCCATCCATCTCATGTGGTAGTAGCAGCAATAGTGAAGTAGAATCTTTGAAGTGCAAAATAAAAGCCCAAGATGAGCTGCAGGGTCTAATAAATACAGCTAGAAATGAAACTAAAGAATGATGAGATAGAAAAGAAACTATAGCTTAATGAGATAGAAAAGAAAGTGGAAAGAAAGAAATATGAACGAGAAAAGCAGCAGAAAAAAAGGACATTTTAACTATAATGTATGCAGAGAATCCTGACGCCATCGATAAATTGAAGATCCAATAGAAAATGGCCAACAAATAGTTGAAGAAGATCCCCATTTTAAGTGCTAAATGGTCAGATGAGGATGTTGACTTGTCGAGTGTATCAATTCAGAAATTGGCTACTATGTCCATTGTTACAATAGAGGAACACCTGGCTTTTCCATGGGAAGATGATGGCAGCTAAAAATATTGACCATTATCTTATTTATACTTTGTAACTTGTTTAAGTAATGAGCAATTAAATATTTTCCTACTTTATTTTTTTGTTTAAATGAAATAGATCAGTACAAACTACAGTGTATTTATATATTTATTTATTTTTATTGGTGGAGGGGTATAAAATTAGTAATAATAATTAGTTTGGGGGGAGGGGTCATTGAAAGTTTGACAGCTGGTGACAGGGAGGGAGGGGTAAAAAATTGCGTAAAAATGGTTGAAATAATCAATGGACGCCCCTTAAAAGTTTATCTAAGCCTAACAGTTAAGCTTAGTCTTGATCATCAGAACAGATGTCCCTGAGATGAAAGCATGGTCTGACCTAATTTTATTGCATAATGTTGGTTTATTTCAATTGATCTATCCAAATAGGGATCAAAAACAACAAGTTTTCTTATTCTAATCCAATAAATGAAACCTTCAAAACTCAATACCGGTATCTTATGAAAAGGAACAATTAAGAAAATGAGTTCAACATTTAGGAAATATTCAATAAACCAAATGGACTGCATGTTTCCAAAATTTACCTCAGTCATAGTAGAAATGGTGGTGTGCAGATCGATGGTTTTGAATGAAGCAAATCTTACTGCATGGTAACGTAACAATCTTTGTGGTTGCCCCATTGATGAGTTAAAACAAACGGATGATGGTCATTTTAACTCAAGAAAGTGTGTGTGTGTGTTAATAAACAAATTCAGTCAACAATCTATTTCCTTAACAAAAATAAAATAGACGTAACTGCTGGGGTTGCACAAAATGAGCTGCATGAAGAGTTGTTCCCCTCATTGATTTCATGCTCATTCTGATGGACGTGACCTACTTTTGCATCACTACACATTAGCATATTCTTTATAACACACTGTATCCATCCCTGCCCTGAATTTCCTGGAGTTATTCTTGTTGAAAATATTGTTTTTTTATGGTGTATGAGAAATATTCAGTCAAAGTCTTCATATGTAGTTGCTAAAGAAAAGGGCTGATAATGCTTTGGAATAATGTGTTTCTTTCTCACTTGACTGTTTTGAATCCAAGGGAGACTACGGTCATCTCTGGAGACCTCCTTTATCTTCTTGTACCCAACATCACAGATTTGATCGTAGAGCTCATCTCGGTTCAGCAGGCCACCAAACATAAATGTCTGGAGATGCAATGTAACAAAGATAAAGTTATGCAACATTGATGTTCACATAATAAATACCTATATGGTGTATTGTGATAAAACTGATGATGCTATTGAAATTTTGTTGTAAGCATTCATTGATTTCTTAATGTTTCATTGCCTTTATAAATTCTTTTCTTTGTTAAGTTTATTTCTGTAATATAAGGCATACTATAAAACAGTTTTAAAATATTTTATTATTTTTTAAAACAAGAAATTGATTTTTTTTCCCTCTCACTTTCAAGTTGGGAGATATTTACATCAAGGATAATCTGAGATATTTATTTTCAGTAAAGATTGTGACAGAAAATATATAAACACTTGTTGGTGGCCTATCAGGTATTTATGAATATTAGTGCAATTGGAAACTGATATGTTGATTAGAACAAGTTTTTTTTAAAGTTTCATTTTAATTTGCAGGATTTTTTTTTTTAAAGATTACAACAGCAAGGGTAAAATGAAAACACTGACAGCTTTTTATGCCAAAGATTTAGAGGTGCTTTGTTAAGAGTCACTTTTACTTGATACTAAGAGTATTTCATGCTAACTTATATTATCCTATCATCATTGATAGATGCAATCTAAAACTACACAAATTTTCAGTGCTTTGATATCATGCATTGAATTTTCTTTCAATGCCGAGTTAAAAAACTTAATTCATTGGCGCTAAGTTCTTAATCTTCTCTTTAAAGAGATGAGATTGTTGGAAACATAATCACAGTAAACTATTCAGACAGACCACTGTCTATCCAAAAATAATAAAGTTGTCTTGCGTTTACATTGAGAATGAGTATTTTAGACAATCTTCATTCTTGCACTACTTTTGACAGTTGTCCTATTAGGAATAATGAGTCTTAGATATTTGCTGAGACAACTGATTTAAAGATCAGCTGTTTAAAGTGTTTAGCATTGTCACTTGGTGTGATAAATTATATTTACAGATACTAGTAATACAATAACTGAAAGATTGGTTTGGCAGACTGTAGAAGTATAACATTCGGCCAAGAAAAACATCAATTTTGTTCAAAAGAGAAGAAAAAAACAATTAAAATCAATAAATGAACAAGCCAGTTACAAGAAGTTAGGTGCATTTAACATTGTTGTGAGGGAAGAAATACCAATAAATAATAAATGGTCTTCCTTAAACAGAGTGAGAACTATCAAGAAATTAATAACTACAATTTGATTGTTAGAGGGAAGATGGGAACACATTGTTTTTACTGCTGTACATCCCAGTATTATTCAGTAAAGAATAAGACATGAGGGTCTGCGTACAATTACTGTATAGTAAATAAATAGTGGAACAAGATATTTTTAGACAATTGCAAGGATGTTTCGGCACAACGCCTCCTTCAGCAGATTAGACAAAACAGGAAAGAAAAAATAAATAGAAATTCAATTTTTTTCATGTTTTCGAAGATTCTGATCAAAATGTCGTTCTCAAGTTTTTCAAGCCTAAACATATCTTGCTCCACTATTTATTGAATAAAATATTATAAATTACCGCAAAAAAAGTAAAACATTTAGTTGGATAAAATAAAACAGGGTGAGGGTACATAATCAAACATAACAGCTCAGGGCTCAGTGCATGGCCTAGTCATCCACTACATCATAACATTACTTTCAGATTTGCCAAAGTAGAATTATTTCAAAGTAGGCAAGTGTAAAGTTTATTACCATGAATTTTTAAAAAGTTGAATTTAGTTGACACTAAAAAACAAGCAGGATTCAAAAGACAAATCCAGGGCTTATACCATGAACCTCAAGGTATACATTTTAAAATACTGAAAAAATAAATACATTTTTCAGTTTCATGAAAAGGTTGTAAAATGTTTTAAAATAGCTCACAATACAATAAAAAGCTTGCACTTGTAGGTCTTCATGAATCACCTATAATTATTTCTGATAGCAAATGCTGAGTAGCTAATAGTGTGATGATATTTTAAAGCTAACTTGTGAGTTTAGGAGGAAATATTTGTAAAGGTACCAAAAAATATTTTTAATTTTTCTAAATTTTGAAATTGTGGCACAACATTTCAAGCTGATAAATAAAATTTAAAAAATTTAAAAACATCCACAATGGCTTTCAGGGTGAATCCTTTTTCATTTACCGAAAGATGCAATTATTGACCGCATCTGAAATGCTGAGTTATGCTGCTAAAACATACATTGACAGACAGGACAACATTGTTTGAAATGGAAATTATGTTTGTACAGGAAGTTACTTTATCTAAACATGCAAGAGTTAAACAAAAGAAAGATAAAAATAATAAACTACAGCTCTGAAGAACAGCAATGTCCAGCAGTGATTTCCTTTGAAACACTAACTCTTATAATGAATATATTTAAATAACTTATAATGAATATTTTAATGGCTCTTACAGTGACTATTTAATGACTCTTATAATTATTTGTGTTACCCTCAAAACTCTTATAATGAATATATTTAACTGAATCTTCTATGATAAGGACTATGAGTCTAAAAGAAAGCAATCGAAATTTAAAAACACATAATGATACAATGGAAACCAAGACTGAAAACTTCTGAAAAGAAGTTATTCTAAAAAATCTAAGACCGATATATGTTTTGTTGATGAATTTATGCATCTTTCTCTTAAAGATATATATTTAAACTAATAATATGACAGTTTTTTTAAATGTCTTGTGGAATTTTAAGCCCAACTATTCATTAATCACATAATCATTTTTTTTATTTTCTAAAATTGATCAATGCCATAACAAACAAGACATGAAAGGTTTTTAAAAAATAAAGTTTGTATAGTAAATCATAGTTTCTAATATTGAAACAATCTTGAGGTTTATAAATATTTACTGGAAACCACTGCTCGACAGAAATTAAAACCGAGTTCATTCCAATAAGAGACAACACTACGTCTGGTTATACTAACAAGTCACTCAGTTGGGGACGGACATCTGGACGCACTGGACCAAGGCAGACTCGCCTTTCGACCGGCTGCCACAATGGATTCATAGACCTCATCTCTATTTAAAATAGCTCCAAAAATGTACGGCTGTTGAGCAAGTTGACATGCTTGCGTTAGTACAAAGACAGAAAAGAAATAAGGCTTAATAAATAAGACATTAAAAAACATCCATAGTTTGTAAGTCCCAGCAGAGATTTAAATATATTTGAGAAGCTCTATGATAAGAAATATCAAAGTTGAGCTTTATTAAACAAAAGAGTGATTTTTTTTTTTTTTATTTAGTTTTCATAAATGTTGGTTTTTGGACTGGATTATTTAAAGAGATTTAATGAATGAGAACCAAAGAGGTGCCTTTAAAAAAAAAAAATTTAATATAAAATACACCATGAGAGATAAATTGAGTGTGTTGCAAGTAAAGACTCTTGAAACTGAACAGCATTGGAATAATATAATTTGTATCACTCTATATTCTTTTAAAAGCTTCTGTGGGGAAGTCCATGCAGGAACCCAATTTTTTCAAGTTTGTATCAAGACTTGCCAGATAAAAAAGTAAGAAAAAGTCAATTCAAAGAAAAATAAAAGAAAGTAGAAATGTAAAATATTTTAAAATTGATGCATGATATTAAATTTTTGTTGTGCAAATGTTGCTTGATGCTTTAAGACTTAATTTAGCTATGATATCATGTTGTTGCCTGCTGCCTTTAGACTTAATATATCAATGATATCATGATGTTGCTAGCTGCCTTTAGACTTAATATAGCAATGATATCATGAATTTGCTTGCTGCCTTTAGACTTAATATAGTAGTGATATCATGATGTTGCTAGCTGCCTTTAGACTTAATATAGCAATGATATCATGATGTTGCTCGCTGCCTTTAGACTTAATATAGTAATGATAGCATCAGATACTTATCAGTTTTTATACAATATTAAAAAAAACAACTTGATAATGTCCACAATTTTTATCTAACATCAAATCCATATTTTATTTCCTAAAAATCAAAGGCACCTTAAATATTTGGTAACTGTGTTCAACATAAAAAAACAACAGTTGCTCTAAATTCCCTCACATTCATGTGTGCTAATAATTATCCAATAACAGACTTAATGTACATCTTTGCCATCACTTGAGTCAGCTGATAATCTAGGCCACTCTGTTACTCATTGCAGGTTAACACAAGTGGAAAGTCCACATCCTGTAACTTTTGTGAGATAAGGAAGAAAACATTGTTCCAAAGCCAGGAGTTGAACTACACTTGTATTACTTTGGTCTGTACGTTTACATTAGTTGATCAAGCAACGGTTGTCCAACATGTGGGTTTATGCTAACAAAGGCTGTTGTGGGGCTTAGTTCAATTTATTTATGTGTTCTTTCCATTATTAAAAATGAGTTAAAGGACAAACTGGGAAATGTTGCTGTGTTTTTCATATGGCATTTTGAATTCATAATTTATCAAGCCATTCACAAAAAATGTTCAAGAACCACTGCTTGGGGGGGGGGGGGGTTATAAAGGAAGAGCCAGGCCAAAAGTTATGAAATTAAACACATAAAGCCAAAAAATGCTACAACCAGGCTGGGGGGGGGGGGGGGGGGTTATAAAGGAAGAGCCATGCCAAAAGTTATGAAATTAAACACTCATAAATAGAAAGAGAGAGAGAGAGAGAGTAGGTCCTACTGTGAGTTGTGGGTCCTAGACGTAATCAAATCCTATCAATTATAGGAATTACTTTCAATAATTATTATTTTAGATAGCTGGTAAGGAAAGAAGAGAACTCTTTGTATTGATCTGAGTGTTGCTTCCATAATAATATTACAGATGTTCATAAGATTACAGTTGTAGACTTTTCATTGAAAGCAATGGGTCCAAAAACATCACTTTATTTTAAAACTGTAGTTCTGTGATTGCTTGTATTTGCTTAACTAAATAATAAGCTTATAAAATATATGGAGACTCAGGTTTTTCTTGTTGTGTTTTTTTTGTTCGATGATGTTATTTTAAAGGCAAAAAAAAAGTTTTAAAAATTATTTAAGTTTTGATGCAGTTTTAAAAATTCTTAAGGAATGTGCTATTTTAGCACCGTGATTATAAATGCTTGAGGAATGTGCTATTTTGAGACCATGATTTAAAATGTTTGAAGAATTTGCTATTTCAGCACCATGATTTATAATGCTTGCAGAATGTGCTATTTTAGCACCATGATTTATAATGCTTTGGGAATGTGCTATTTTAAGACCATGATTTATAATGCTTGAGGAATGTGCTATTTTAAGACCATGATTTACAATGATTGAGAAATGTGCTATTTTAAGACTATGATTAAAAATGGCAGAGAAGGGGTCATAAATTCTGACTGCACTTAGCTTGATGCATGCATGCTGCCAAAAGCGTCATTCAAAGAAATGTATTCTATACTTGCCATTGGTTCCTGTATAGATACGAGGAGGATTGTGCTTAGCAGTCAAGAAATGTAGATAAATTGTTCTAATTAATATTTGCAAATCCAAACAAATAGATGCTGAAATACTGGATGTTATTTCAGAACTAGTCGACCCACGTTGTAGCATACGTCGCAGAATTGCTCATGAACTATATTAATATTCTCATGTCCCAACCACTTTTGAACATTTTTTACACAATACTTAAACTGAGACGATTTCATTTCCGAAAAGAAAATATTACGCATCAAACGCAATTGCGTTATTAAAAATATATATATATCATTTAGCGTAGTTATCGGGAATTATATTTTGTGCACTAGTGAACTCATTATTTAACCACACTCTGGCGTATCCATATATAGCCTGCGTGGTTGTGTTTCACCTTTGCTGGGGAATTATATATATATATATAGATATATATATATATAGATATAATTTACACTTAAAACATTTTAGACCCCACCAAAAAGGGATGTGTTTTTTTACAGCTTGTTTGGGATTTGCTTGTGTCTTTATTTTTAAAAACTTATTTTAAAAGAAAAAACTCTTTATTTGGTCTCTTAGCTTCTAAACCAAAAATAAAACCGTATATTGATTCACCTTTGTTTCAATGAGCTATTCTTAATTAAACTAACATCTCCAGAGAATTAAAAAATTAAAAGTTTAGGTCTGAACAAAAATTTTAGTGTGTTCAAATTTCAGCCTCTATCTTTTTTTTTTTTAATATTCCCTTTAAATGAGACAATAATTGACTCATAAAGTTTAATTCGAAATAGATTGAATTTTTTTAGATAAATGATAGCTGTGGCTGGGTAACACAAACTTTCCAGGGTGGGTGCACTTAAAATACAAAAATATTCTAGCAGCGTAATGTAGATTTTAACACTTTACCGATATAATTAGAAACATTTCAATATTTAATAGACATAGTGCAGGGGAAATTGTGTCGATTAACTCACTGATTTGCATTTAGAAGGAAATAAATAAAATTAAATACAATTTAAACTCAAAGAAATAATAAGCAGATAGGAAACCTTGAGAGACATTTTCATCATGTAAATATCGGCTGCATTGTTACATGAACTTGTGTAAACTGAGAGAGTACATTTCAATCTAAGCAGATTATGCAATGCAATGAAAACCATGTCACAAAATTTAATTTGTAAATTAGAGTTATGAATCTGATACACATGAGTAGACATAAAAGACATTAAAACTGCTAAAACTACTTAACACCTCACCTTGTCATTTCCAACAACAGCAATCTCTATAGCCATTCCACCCCCTGGTATCCAAGCGTAGGGTTTGGCCTGAGAACAAATTATAAAGAGACCCTTAGACTGTAGAACATACTTCCATTGTAACATTTTACATTGCTTAGACTGTATAACATTCTTCCATTGTAACATTTTACAGCGCGGCTTTGGATTTATGCAACTTCCTGTCAATAACAGGCGAACTTCTCATTTCTTATTCTTTTTTTTTAATTGCATTAACTGATGAAGGCTTTCAGCCGAAAAGTTTTTTTGATAGTATTATATCTTCAACCGAGCTGTCACATATCATGTTCCTACTATTTCAATGATAAATAGACTAGAAGGGCAATTTGAAAACTTATAAAAAGGTTTATTTTCCAGATAGATTGCTAGACTTATGTTTTTTTCTGCTATATCTTAATGTACAATAATGCTTCCCTACCATAACAAATAAAATAGATTGTCTACCTTTTCCAAGCGTGCAATGTCAGCAAGAGGTATGACGATATTTTTTGGTGAAGGCATTTTAGTTCTTTCAAAACATAAGAAGCTGAGAAGTCCAAAAAAATAAAATAAAATAGGTTAACTAAATTGAAAACAACCATTATAATTTAATATTAAAACCAAAGTGTTTGATGACAATAAGCTTTTCAAAGAAATTAGAACATATCCTTTTTTTTACAATTTGTACATTTTAAATATACATTTTAAAGCATTTTGTGAATTTTAGTTTTCCCTAATTGTTTCATTAAAAAGTGAACCTCAGTTGTGATTTAAATTTACAAGTGAGCCTCAGTTGTGATGGTAAATTTTCTTTTCTCAAACTCACCTATGGGTGAGGTAAAGTCTTCCATTTTTAAAAGCAGCAGTTAGAGATTTCTCTCTGTTGATCAGCGTACACCTCCTTCCACCGTGCCAGCCTGGGGTCAAGTGACACAGCTTCATTTTAGATATGACTTTACACCACTAGTGAACATAATTTACTACATTTAACTTTTTAAAGCTGGAGTGCTCAAAAACTGTTTGATCAAACTGTTTTTATGTGTAGCATTCAATATTGAGATATTTTTCACTTGATCTACACCCAGTGGTGATTACAGTCAACAATAATCCAGTCACAACTGGTTAGGTCACGATGCCTCTTGTTACATCTTAAATAAACTGGCTTGGTGTAAACAGTCAAATAAAATCGATAAAAATTAAAAAGTTAAATATATTCAATTAATAATCATAAACCACATTATTTGCTTGGTAGGTCCAGAAACATTTTTCCAAGCACGGACTAGAATCATGTGATTTTTTTTGTATTACATGGTTGACCTCAAATAATGCACCACAAGCGATAACACTATTGCTTATTACCAACATTACGGTATATTTATACCCTGAAACTGCTTAGCAATGTCACTTCTCCAACAAATAAAAAAAAGAATTTAAGTGAAGGAGTACAGCTTTGATGCACATACCCAAGAAAGTACAGGAGAGCATTTATTTTTCAAACTATCTGGGACAGATTGGTTGTGGGGGGGGGGGGATTTGTTTTGGATAAAAGCACACTCTAAACGAAAGGTTGAGTTAAAGAAGTTAGGGCTTATAATATTTTCTCACCTTAAATGTTTATTGTGTTTCTGCAGTAAATTCAGTAATTTTCAATTTTGCCTTGTTTAAAATTGGATTTTACTTGGCTTTTCCAACAAAAAAAAAAAAGAAATTAAATGAAGGAGTACAGCTTTGATGCACATACCCAAGAAAGTACAGGAGAGCATTTATTTTTCAAACTATCTGGGACAGATTGGTTGTGGGGGGGGGGGATTTGTTTTGGATAAAAGCACACTCTAAACGAAAGGTTGAGTTAAAGAAGTTAGTGCTTATAATATCTTCTCACCTTAAATGTTTATTGTGATTCTGCAGTCAAGTCAGTAATTATCAATTTTGCCTTGTTTCAAATTTGAGTTTACTTGGCTTTCACTACAGGGGTAGGAATTGTTTTCCTGCATTTCTACATCAAGGCTATTTGCCATTCTATTTGTGCACGATTTTAATGATTTGAAAATGACAGGGTGGTTAGGATAACCAACATTTGGGTTAATCAGTGTTTGGAAAATTTATGTTCTACTGTACATATATGCCCATATCGTTTATTTTTTACACATAGCATAAAATATTTTTATTTAATTTTTAGATTACTAAGAATAAGAATATTTAACAGTCTGAAACTTAAACTAAATAACACACCTGTTAATGGACACTCAGACTCCGGTAATGAAAACAGCTCACAAAATGAGCGATCATCCATGGACACTTGATCAGTTTTTGTTTCCCCTGTTGATTCCCGTTTCTCTTGCTCATAGGGAAGTATATACTTAAACACATACAATTTATATTCAAATAAGTAACAATATGAAGCAATTTATTATCAAAGGTTTCCATTATTATTTATAATATTTAAGTTCTGTGTAACATTTCTAGCTTAAGTTATTATAAATTTGTTACTACATAAATGGTTAAGTTTGGTTAAAGTTAATTTCAAATCACGCAAAAAATGTTTAGTCATTAGGTACATTCAACTGTAAATCAATGCCAGGTGTAAATAGATACTTTTTGAGTCAGTTATAGTTGCATATTTCATAACAATATTTAAAAATCATTGATCTGCCAAAGATTACCTTGTCTATCTCTGACTTGGCGTATTTCTTCTCATACTCTATGTCTGTCGGCAACTCCTCCCACAAACGAGAGCTGGAATCATACTTCCTTCTAACACGTGGGAATCGATTATAAATGTAGTCAATGATGAAAAGCTTTATGCCTAGGCCAAGACCTAGATAGAATGATATTTAAGGATCTAGTCAATGATGAAAAGCTTTATGCCTTGGCCAAGACCTAGATAGAATTATATTTAAGGATCTAGTCCATGAGGAAAAGCTTTATGCCTTGGCCAAGTCCTAGATAGAATTATATTTAAGGATCTAGTCAATGATGAAAAGCTTTATGCCTTGGCCAAGGCATAGATAGAATGTTTAAGGATCTAGTCCATGAGGAAAAGCTTTATGCCTTGGCCAAGACCTAGATAGAATTATATTTAAGGATCTAGTCAATGATGAAAAGCTTTATGCCTTGGCCAAGACCTAGATAGAGTTATATTTAAGGATCTAGTCCATGAGGAAAAGCTTTATGCCTTGGCCAAGACCTAGATAGAATTATATTTAAGGATCTAGTCAATGATGAAAAGCTTTATGCCTTGGCCAAGGCATAGATAGAATTATATTTAAGGATCTAGTCTATGATGAAAAGCTTTATGCCTTGGCCAAGACCTAGATAGAATTATATTTAAGGATCTAGTCCATGAGGAAAAGCTTTATGCCTTGGCCAAGACCTAGATAGAATTATATTTAAGGATCTAGTCAATGATGAAAAGCTTTATGCCTTGGCCAAGGCATAGATAGAATTATATTTAAGGATCTAGTCCATGAGGAAAAGCTTTATGCCTTGGCCAAGACCTAGATAGAATTATATTTAAGGATCTAGTCCATGAGGAAAAGCTTTATGCCTCGGCCAAGACCTAGATAGAATTATATTTAAGGATCTTTTTTAAGTTTTATTTATTGGCTGTTAACCAGCTCAGTACTTGTATATTTTACAAAATTTATCTTAAAATCATGAAATATAATGATATAAACTTTGCATTTATATTTAAATTAAATAAATTAAACATATGTGTGAATACTTTTTATATTTGATGGATTAACTCCACCACTGCCTTCTGCAAAATCAGGATTGGGTATTTAGGCAAGTGTCCCGATGTCACAAATGACTGGGGCGGGGGTACAGGACAGAGCTCCATTGTTGTTTAGGTAACTTATAGGATGGAAGGAAACTGCTGTTAATGGGGTTAAGTTAAGGTTAATAGACTCTCACATCTTGATATAGTGGGGGATTGTTTCTTTGGATAATAGTATGTTTGGGTTAACAATGGGAAGGTCTAATTGACCGGAAATTAGAGGGCATGGGTGTGTTTATAGATAGCATTCCTGGACCACCTATGGGGGGTAGAGAACCACATATAAGAGGGAGCTTTCACTGAGTTAAGTTAGTTGAGGGAGAGTGAACAGAGGTACGACGAGTTGAGGAAGAGGGAAAGGAGCGACAGTAGTTAGTTGAGGAAGATAGAGAAGAACTACGGATTAGTTGAGGAAGAGAGAGAAAAGAGCTACGATAGAACTGAGCAGTTGTTAGGGAATACTTGCTAGAGACCAGAAGACGACAGATGACTGGAAAAACGTATATCTTACCAATAAACACTTTCATTATCGTTGGACACCAGAAGTTTTGAGTTGTTGCATTTCGTCCAAGTCTACTTTGTGCTTTTGTCTGTCTCAACGCCTAGACACCCACAATATAAATCACAGAGAGGAGCGGTCCTGTACTGACCACTACTAAGTCAACATAGTTTGTGTTAAGTCAGGACCGGAGCCCTCCTCCGTAACCACCGTTCTGTGACATCTGGGGGCTCGTTCCGGGGTCTAGGCAACAGGAGATAGACAAAGCTGACGTAATAGAGGTAGAGAACAGACGTCCCTAGGATTCAACAGGTGTGAAGGGAAACATGACGTCAGTGTTGTGCAGACAGTCGGATTTCTGGAGACCAGCAATGTACCACCAAGTGAAGCAGTGTGACGCACCACTTTGCTACAGGTGCCATCGTGCAGGTCACATTGCTAGGTACTGCACTAACGCACGGCGGTGTTACAGATGCTACTCAACTGGTCATCTGGCTCGAGATTGCTACAACGAGCGCCGGTGTTTTCGTTGTTATGGAAGTGGACACCTAGCCAGAGACTGCGAACGGCCACGGGTCTGTTTCAGCTGTTTACGACCAGGCCACACCGCCGTGAGGTGTCAATTTCAGGGGCGTTGCTACAAGTGTCACCAAAAGGGGCATGTCGTGAGAAATTGCCCAGCCGTCCGTGACACGGAGGAAGATAAAAATTCGAGTTGCAGAGATGTGAAAACGGTATCCACGTGTTTCAGATTAGGACAGGAAAAGAAGTGTATAGAGAAGAGAGAGAAGTCTTTAGTAAAGAAGGATAACAATAGCACACGTAAAATTAAGTACGAAGAAGAAAAAGGAAATGATAGTGAAGATGAAATTCTAATAGGAGGAATTTCTATTGGTGTCGGAGTGAAGGAAAGTGTATTTGGGTTAGTTGAAGACCAAAAGGTTAAAGTGTTTAGACATTATCTGTGTAGTGATATAGTGGTTAGGAGAGACTTAGTTGATGACAGTAAGTTGACAGGAGAGAGATGTACGGTTGTTCTATTGAATGATGCAAGGCTAAAAGGAGAGAAGGCTCTAGTCACGATCAGCACCCCATATATTTCAGGAAATATTAAAGTAGTGTGCATTCCCGACATAATCTATGATGTAATAGTGGAGAAAGTTCTTTAGCACTCATACAGTTAGGACGTGAGCGGTGCATATCTGAAGGTGGCACAGATAAACAGTTAAAAAGTGTTTAGTTCAGTGTGAGATAATCTCCATATCGTCATCAAGGAGGCTTCTCAAAGAGACGTTAGACTTGTTTTTAAGACACTAGTAAATTTAGTTAATTTAGCTGTGTTATCTTTATTTGAGTTTCACACCTTGCATTTTCTTTAAAAAAACTTGTGTAGTTAAAGTAATGCTAGTGATGAGTGTAATCATGTGTCTTAACAGTTGTGGTTGGGTTAAACATTATGTTTGATGAATAATGTGAGCGAGTAGCTGCCCCTGGGCTATTGTTAAGAAGCCAGGTGGGCAGTAAGAGGTCATGTCTTAAGGACAGGGCACACTGGGCCTTGATAAAGGCAGTGTGTGTGGATTAGAGTCTAGTTGTGTTGGTTAGTGATGTCATAACGGCAGAGATGTTTGTTATGGACATTACGGGTACTCGTCTATAACAGACCGTGCAGGGCACATGATGGTTTGCGGTGTAGACGATGTGTAGACTGTAGAGTGTCAAAGATAATGGTTATTAGTGTTGTTGGGTTCATAATTTGATAGTAATAGTTGTATGGCTGTTCTACACTTAGTGATGGTGAGACAGCATTAGATAGTTAGCGGTCTACTCTTCATTAGGTGAATGATAGGCCTTCACTACATAATGCGTAGAATAGCGTGGGATGGAAGCTATAACCTGCACTGGGTAATGTGTAGAGTAGCTTGAGATGGTCAGCTGTAGCCTACACTGGGTAATGTGTCGGACAGCATGGTTAGGTCAGCTATTTCCCACACTGGGTAATGTGTGGGGTAGCACGGTTGGATCAGCTATTTCCCACACTGGGTAATGTGTGGGGTAGCATGGGTAGGGCGGCTATGGATTGCACTATGTATGTGAGTTAGAAGTGGGTATCATTCAACCCGATCAGTGGGTCGTGGGATCAGAGAAGAAGATTAAGACTTAATGTATAAGTCTCATTGCTGGTATGATAGTAGTATAAGTTATCGTGTTAGACACACTTTGTTCTGAGATTGAGATAGACACACTTTGTTCTGAGATTGAGATAGACACACTTTGTTCTGAGATTGAGATCGTTTAATGAGAGATCACAATGTTTGGATACGTTTGTTCGTTTAGTCCTTTAAGTTACAATGTTCATGTTGTTATGGTCAATTATTGATGTCGTTAATGACTATTGACATATGCATGATGTTGTATGTTGCTATTTTTAATTTTGTTTGAAAAACTGAAGATGATGATAGATGACAATAGACTCGACGACGCACAGAGTAAGGGCTTGACGCATGGGATGGTGTGATGTGTAGAGTTGTAGGTTGGTCATTTTGGTTAACAATGGGAAGGTCTAATTGACCGGAAATTAGAGGGCATGGGTGTGTTTATAGATAGCATTCCTGGACCACCTATGGGGGGTAGAGAACCACATATAAGAGGGAGCTTTCACTGAGTTAAGTCAGTTGAGGGAGAGTGAACACAGGTACGACATAGTTGAGGAAGAGGGAAAGGAGCGACAGTAGTTAGTTGAGGAAGATAGAGAAGAACTACGGATTAGTTGAGGAAGAGAGAGAAAAGAGCTACGATAGAACTGAGCAGTTGTTAGGGAATACTTGCTAGAGACCAGAAGACGACAGATGACTGGAAAAACGTATATCTTACCAATAAACACTTTCATTATCGTTGGACACCAGAAGTTTTGAGTTGTTGCATTTCGTCCAAGTCTACTTTGTGCTTTTGTCTGTCTCAACGCCTAGACACCCACCATATAAATCACAGAGAGGAGCGGTCCTGTACTGACCACTACTAAGTCAACATAGTTTGTGTTAAGTCAGGACCGGAGCCCTCCTCCGTAACCACCGTTCTGTGACACCCGATCCTGCAAAGACACATCTGTACAGAAACAATAATCAGGGACAGGGGTGAAGGGGGCCAGGTTTCAAGACTTGAAAGTAGCCAGGATGTTGGCAGCCCATGGACAGATCACCCTGACACTAAAATCATTGAACAGATATGGATGGCACATTGAAAGATTTTGTTGTTGCCCTTGATGAACAAGAGCAGTGTCCAACAGATGGCAACTCTCAAAGGGAAATCCACACAATCATCAGCAAAGCAAGTCAAGGCATCAGGAATGTTGACATTCATAAGAAGATGAAGAAACTCTTAACACAATGATCAGAATTTTTCAAAGTTATGTCTCCTTATGGATCAGAGTACTGGAAGTATGCTCATCAGAAGAGAAGCTGGAAGTATGCCAGACCAAATGCCTGCAAAGGATCCATGTAGCTTTATGATGAAGAGCTTAAAATAAAGCTCGAAATCGGATACCAATCAGGGATGACAACTATTATAGAAACCATAGGGGCACATCGCTATAGATGGGTTAATCATGTTGTTAAAATACCCCAGATCTCATGTCCCATCTCCCATGTCAGCAATAAGAAGGCAGCCTAGGGACAATTAAACTGCAAAAGATTCAAAGAGACCTGCCACAAAACAATAGACAAGGATTTGTGGAATAGAAAGATGCAGTTAACATGCAGTCCAAGCAGTCGGCTCAGACAGAATGGGCTGAATCAATGTTATGGATTTGTTGATTCTTTGATTTATAATTGAATATTAATCAGGCCACTCACATGTGAACAAAATTAGTATGGGAAGTTGGACTGAATAATGAACCTTATAAAAATTTAATAATAAATATCATTCCCACTACTGTAATGTGAGATGTGTGTCTAGTACGGATATTGACTTGTTATTGTTGTGCACCATTGTTGTGTTTTATTGTTGGCAGTGTGTCTTGTGTGTTAGTTTCTTTGATGAACGTTCTTTGCACCATGAGGCCTGCGAGTGTTGTGACGTAAAAGAATGTTTCTGTGAAGTTGTGTCCAGACTGGTGTGGATAAAGTGTTTTTTTAGGTAGTGTCTGGTTTTTATGTGAGAAGGTTGTGATTGTTTTCCTCTAGCAAACTGTGCCACAAGTGTTTGAATCATTGAAAGACCAGATGAAAGATAGCTTGGATTTTAAAGTTTATATTGTTCTTGTAGTAGGACTCGTGCTCGGTTTTAAAGTGATTTCAACATATCTCTTGTCGATTCCGCTGTCCAGACTTTGCGGGGGTGCATTGATGATGTCAAGTCTTGGATGACACTCAGCAAGTTGAAGCTTAATGATGACAAAACAGAAGCACTCCTCATTTACAATCACAAATCATCCTCTACCTCAACTCTTCCCACCTCATTTCAAGTAGGTAACTCCGACATACAGTTTACACCCTCTGCTAGGAATCTTGGTTATATTCTTTCTAACAACATGTCTCTCGATAAACATATCTCTCACATTTGTCGTTCGGCATACACCGCCATCCGTCAGATCAGCTCCATCCGCCACTACCTGACAGTTAGCGCAACAAAAACTCTAGTCTGTGCTCTTGTTCTCTCTCGTCTTGACTATTGCAACTCACTTCTGTCAGGTTCACCGAAACATTTTATAGAAAAACTGCAGAAAGTTCAAAACTCTGCTGCTAGGCTTGTTCTTAAGGCAAAAAAACGCGATCACGTCACTCCACTACTCCACTCACTACATTGGCTCCCTATACAGGCACGCATTGACTACAAGCTGTCTCTTCTCTGTCACAACTTTTTCTCGGATTCCTGCCCTTCCTATCTAACTGAACTTCTTTCTGTCTATTCACCCCTTCGACAACTTCGCTCCTCCGCAGACTCACGTATTCTGTCCGTTCCCAAGACACGCACTAAATTATATGGTGAACGATCTTTCTCTTTCTGCGCCCCCAAACAATGGAATTCTTTGCCACTACACATCCGCAATATAACAACCACACAGGCCTTCAAAACTGCACTCAAAACACATCTATTTAAACTATACTACCCTGACTGATTCCCCTCCTATAAACCGATAAACGTACATGGGTTTCCTTGTAAAAATTTATGGTGTGGGTGGATGAATATACCTATGGTGTTGTTTTGCTTATATGTTGTTTTTATTTCATTTATGTATTTTATTTTAATATTATGATTATGCCTCTTTGCTATATATATGTACAGCGCGGTGAGCCCAGCCCTAGGCCGGGGTACCGCGCTATATAAGACCACTTATTATTATTATTATTATTATGAATGTGTACAAGAATTTGATGAGCAAAACTCAATCACACAGACTCATGACTAGGCACACTAAGATTTGCAATAAGTTTCTTAAGATACTGCAAACATTTCCCTACTACCTTTATTCAAAATAATATAGTGAGGCGGTCTCAAATTGTAAAGCTGAAATGATTTAAATGTATATTTATTTAGGCTACTATATTTTTGGTATTATATTTTTGTTATTATATTTTAGCTACCATAATTTTGTTACAATAACACAATAACTCTTACCAGCATAGAAGAAAAAGTAATTGGTTGGCAGTATACAGGATGTAATGAATGCAGCAGTGGTGGCAAACAATAGCTGCCTGCTGGCTTCAGGGTGGCGCCAGGTAAGGAGGCTGAAATTATACATGCCAGAAAGTTGTTTTTTCAAAATATATATTTCACTATTTTTGTTATGGTCTTATATTGATGTTCACTCAGCTTCCAATCAGCCAATAATTCAGTTCTCTAGTTTAAAGTTATTTAAAGGGATTTCATAATATTACAAGATGTGTTTGCTACTATATTAAAATGCTGCACTGTCAATAATGCTTAAGTGAACTAAACTTATTTGCTTTTAACCTTTTAATTTTCTCAAGGCCATCAGCAACTTCTCCAAGAACATTTTGCACCTTCCTGGCAACTTGCATAACCAAATTAAACTTGTCTGAGACACCCAAATCTTTTTCTTCAATATCCTATATTTTTTAAACAAACGATCAATTGCAAAGTAAAATGTTTAAGCATGTGCTAAAAAGTCTACAATCTTTTAAAAAAATAGGACAATTAAGATGTGAAACAAATATAAAATATTTTAACTTGTACTAAAAAAGCCAACAATCTTTTTTAAATAACAGAACAATTAAGAAGTGAAACAAATATAAAATAAATAGAATCATTACCCAAAACTCAGTATACCTTTATCTAAATTTTCATTGCTTTAAAAATAAATGTTGTTCAATGTATAGCTCAAGTAGAATTATAAGATGATAACAATAAGAAGTAAACAATATCTGTATTGATCAGTGAACTGACCTTTGTCTCCTCCACAGTCTCGAAGAAATTAAAGCTGATGTTCCATCCCCTGTAAGTAATTGAGATGAGTCAGAACTTTTAAAAAATTTAAAATGTTCTCAGGGGAGATAACTTTAGGCTAATAAAAGGAAACTCTACAGGGCAGTACAAGATCTTAAGTCCAGTTTTACAAATTTTGTTAGACCATGTGTAAGAAAATGTATTTTCCACTGATGCAATTTTAAAATATTTTTACAGAGATGGAATACCTTCAGATCTAAATAAATTTTAAATAAAAACATCTTCAAAAAACCAGTCTTACACTAATAGAGAATTACGGTTATTTGTTTAAATAAATTTTAAATAAATGAAAACATGTTCAAAAAATAGTCTTACACATCTAGAGAGTTACAGTGTTGTTATAAATAAATTTTTAAATCCAAGACATGTCACCTGTGTCTGAGAAAGTTGATGATGAGCCGAAATGTTAGGCAGAATAACAGAACAGGAAAGAACCACCCTTGCCATACAGAGTACATGTAAACCTGGGGATAACACAGGTGAAAGGTATCATGAACATTAATGAGCATTAAAGAACAATAATGAACATCAAACATGAAACCAAAAAAAAAAAAAAGGATAGTGGTAAAGGGGAAGTAACTCATCTCCAGAAAATAGAACATTTGAAGTACATACCTGAATGTTACTTGGTCCATATCTATTTAATTATTATTAAAAATAAAAAAGTTAAGATATAAAAACAATGCTGCTGGGTGTCGTCCAAGGCTTGACATGTAAATAGTTTTAAATATGCAATTGTTTAATTAATGTACGTTAAATAATTTTTTAAGTTCATGATTATGTTTCTAAAATTGTATGTACAACGTGGATACCATGCTATATAAAACCACTTACAATAATAATAATAATAATAATAATAATGACCATCAATTTTTTTTAAAATAACACAATTTACATTAAACTGTAAGGTTTTTATTAGTTGCTATTTTAAACAAAATTTAAAATCCTAATAATTGTTGTTTCTATGAAGTAAATAATTATTTTATGAATAAAACAAAATATAACTATTTGTTGAAAAGATGTTAATTTTTTTTTAAATTTCGTTATTATTTTGACTGTTTTTAAAAATAAATATTTTCATTAAAACTTACAACAAAAGCAATAAGTGTATAAGGCGGAGACTTCCATGCCAGGAGGTCGTATATCCCTTTAACTGTGTTAACATATGGCTTTGCCTCTGTACCTGATGGATCAAAAATATATTAAGAGATAACATATTATTTAAACATAAAGATTTAAAACTACATATTCAAGATTCATATGACTTTTTTTGCCGTTAATTGATTCAGCTGTTTCCAGTCTAACATTTTTAGTTAAAATATTTAACACACTATTTTTTTTACCTATTTGAAGACCCCAAAAATGGATAATAGGTAGTAAGTGAAATGATTCATTGTTGACGCATAGAACAAATAGCTTATTCTACAATTTTTCTCAAAATCAAAAGAAAAAAAAAACATTGAATACTTTGTTTTTGCATTGAACATACAGTCTAAACGTAAAATTGCAAAAAATATTACTGGTAATTTAAAACTTTGTGACTGAGTTTTAATAATCATATTAACATTAATTTTAACTCTTACACATTAAAAAATTATTAATTCTAATAATGATTTTACTCATTCACAAGGCCTCAAATTATAATCCAAAATTGTATGACATAATTTTGAAACTTACAGTAGCACCATACGATGCAAAGAATTTAATCTTTTTATAAATTTGAGAGCCATTTTAAATGTTATTTGTTGTAAACCAAATTATTATAAATAATTTAGTAAAATCAACAAAATTTTAACTAACAAAACTATTAAAATATACATACCAAATCTTTTGATGTTCTCTTTTAATCTGAAAATAGATAGAAAATGAAAACAAAACAACCACTACCAAAAAATTAATATACATCTAAATATATTAGAATCTTAAAACTTTTATTATTTTTGTATTTTTCCTCCATTTTTCGTTACCTAACTTAATTAAATGATAAAAATATATATTTCTAGCTTTAAAAAAATATGATTTAAATTTTAACAAATTTTTGGATAAATCTTATTTTGTTGCAAAAATGGAAATAACTCAGATACTTACGTTTTGACTGTCAAAGGATCTCCTTCAGGATCTCCAATATTATCAGCTGGAGGCTCTTCAGTAAAGTCATCAAGAAAATTATAAAAGGAACTGATTAAATACTCCAAGGCTGCTTCATAGAATCTCTTCTTCCGTATTGGTAACTGGACTTCCAAGACAATGCCATCTTTGAATATACAACATATAACACACGTAAGGAATATTCCAATTAGGATTAGCCTGTATGAAATAAGTCTAAATACAAGCTTAATATTTATATCAATAGTTTATTTTATAGATAATTAATTCACTTAATAAACTTCAAATTACATATCATTTTAAGTCAAAGTTAATTACCCGTCAAATAGATAACTATCACTCAAACAAATTTGACCAAATCTCTAACTTAATCCCCCTGATACAAAATAAGGCTTTAAGATAAAATGTGTACCTCCTAAATCATCTCCTTCACTTAAGGATCTAGTGCTGCTGCTGCGACTACCACTTCCACTTCCATTAACTGCGCTGCCACTCACGCCACCCTCAGGTACTAAAAGTTTATTTTTAGCCGTCATATCTGACTGAGTTCTTTGAACTTTCTGAGTCCTGTTAAAATATTTATTAGTTAAAACTATTGATGTTTTAGAATACAAAATTAATGATACAGAACGAATGAAGTGAGCCAAATTATCTTAACTCATGACCATAAAATAAATAAAAATCTCTAGCAAAGTTAAGAATTGAAAGTTAAGTTAATTGAGGTGGCGTCTGAAATGTAAGTTAACTTTTTAGCATATTTTAATGAATAATAGCTTATTTTAAAGATAATTAAAATGCATTATGTTACCATGTGATAAAAAATTATCAGAACAGAGACAATATGATTGAGAACTAAAATTATAAGAAATTTGAATATCCTTCTCAAATACAATATTGCACTTTTTTTGTAATTCTCTGAATATTTAATAATAATTTTAAATGTAAGTTTAAAAATGTTAGTTTAAAATAGGTTAGTTCAAAAAATATTTGTAAATTTGATTATTTTTTAACTTTTACTTTTTACTAACATTTAGACGAACTGTCATTGAAATGTTTATCCAACCATTTTAATAATGCAAAAAATTGATTTATGCAATATTCCCCCGACCTAAAAATTATTTACTAAGAGAACTTTTATTTAACTGGCTATAAAATTGTTACACAAAAGCCAGCGCAAAGTACAGAGAGAGTTGTTAAAAATTGGGTGAAAAAAAAACAAAAAAACTCTATTTACTTTTTTTTATTGGCTTGCTCAAGCTTCTTCTCTAGAACCTCACATCGTCGCTGCTCATATGCTAATTCACATTTTACTCTTTCAAGCTCAGTTTGATTATTCATTGAATGAAGCTCACTCTCTTGATGAAATACAATAAAATATCATTTAAGATTAAAGAAAGACTTTTAAAATCTCCAAATTAAATAATATGACATATTATTCAGTTGTGCTTATTCATGCCAAATTTTTACACTGAAAGAAAGATTATTTGCAACCATAAAATAAAAATGAAATAAATGAGGTTGAAAAAGTTAAAATTTTCTCTATTTTAAAAAACTATTTCTTTTCTGAAAAATTAGAGAAACCTAAACATATAGCTTGTTATTGATCATTATGAACACCTCCTCTTAACCTAATGACTATCAGTTACAATCAAATCTTAATCTATGTTTTTAAAACAATCGCACAATTTCAGAATAAATAAATTCACTTCTTAGTCAAAAAACTTCCTCACTGAGGAGTGCCAAACACGTTCCATTCTGCTATACTTCTGACAAATTTTTACCCACGCATTCATACTTTAATTAACAAAAATATTGAGGTTCTAAATATTTAAATTACTAAAAGACAATAAATAATACCTTTACAATTTTTGTTACAAGTGAATGACTTTACAATCGTCAACAGCAAAGAGAGGAAACACTACATGAAATTATGACTTCATTTTTCATTGTTTTGTCATGTGAATTTTGATTATTGGGAAAAACTAAGAATATACGAATCATTCTTACTTAATGTTTGGTTTTCAATCATAACCATCATTAATTGCTCCTGAAGCTGATTCAACTGCTCTTCAAATATTTTCCGCTCCTCTGGAGTATTCCATGTGATTGATGACATTAGCTCTTCACTAGGAAAAGATCCACAACTTTGTGTATCTTCAGCTGGATGCTTCAATTTTTCCATTGTTGCACCTTGTCTTAAATCTTCTGATGACTCAATAACTTCAAAAATCTCCTGCATAGAGTGTAGTAAATAAATATGCCTTACAATAGCATACAATGGACGTCATACCATATCAAATCAATGAATAAAACAAACATGGTAAAAAATTAATGTATTATGAAAGCAATAAGTTACATCTAAAGCCTTAAAAATCTTACTTCTTCTGCAGCTGTATGGCCCTGGCCACTTCTGCCTGATTCTTTTGGATCTTTGCGATGTTCATCTTTATCTTTATTGAAACGTTGTCTTAAATTCTTCAAAGAACTCATTTTAATGGTAATTTTTAAGTAACATTGGTTTTGTTTCCTTCACAGATGATTGTTTGCATTAATTAACCATCATTAAAGGATGGAAACATCTTTTGTCTAAAGAATATAGAAAAAAATATATATCAATCATGATAACTTTTCTATGTTTTTTAATTTAGGCCTAAAATTTAATTAGATTTAGTTTACCAGAACACTCCGATTGTCTAAAAATATTTAATTTGAATAACTTTTAATGTCTGGCGGCACTTTTTTTCTTCCTTAGGCTTAGGCATTTCCTACAAAATCCAGTGCTTTTTTCATGGAAAAGGTGACACAAATCTTTGTTGATCCTGGCAACTTATTCTAGTTTTTCTTCTAGACTACATCACTTACTCCCTAGTCTAATCATCATGATTTGTATGGCTATGACTGCCACCATGTATTGTAGTTCAAACTTACGAATTTAGCAGTGTGTGTAGTCAATTATATATTTGATCAGATTAAGAGTGCTGAAATTAAGAAGAGTATGAGTGGGGGGGGGGTATGTGTTCTAGTGAGTGGTAATATTTACTAATATGTAGCCGACCTAGGTCCTACTAACACTACTAGTGGTGTTGGTAGGACCACAACTAACATAAACTTAAACTAGTATCAACTAGTTAATTATAATAAAGTTTATAAAGGCCGAAATCAGTACACAATTTCACTCTTTATTCAGTGATTAAGTCTAGAAGATCCACTGAAAAAATAAAACCAAAGAACCAAATTATTAGATGATGTATACAGTTTATATTTAAATGTTAGATTAGTTTGTTTTTACACATTTTGCAATACGTAATCGCCTATGTTCATTCGGTATCAGCAGACATGTTTACAAACATGAACTGAGCAAATTTGATGATTTCTAATAAGGAGAGCTCACTTATCTTACTAAGTTAAACGAGTTAACCCCTGCTTCGATTAATATTAAAATAATTTTTTTTTTTTAAATAATAACATTATTAATAAATATATTTTATAAAGCCTAAAAATAATTTTGTTTGGTACCCATATAATAGACATTCCTTCTCTAGATCGGACTAGGATACCTACTGTGTAGGACTATGCGATAAAGTTATCTAGTTAATCTAGATAAATCATCATCAAGACTCGGTGATCCCATGCCATAACATAACATCCTATACTATAAATAACAATGACATTTATGATGTGATCTTTTTAGGCAAACCTATCTACGAACTACATAGCTAAAAAGTAGCCAATCTCATTTTAAAAAAAAAAAAAAAAAACATTTTCAACTCAATACTCCTTCCCACCTAACACGCATATTCTGGTGAAGGTAAATAACAATGACATTTATGATGTGATCTTTTTAGGCAAACCTATCTAAGAACTACATAGCTAAAAAGTAGCCAATCTCATTTTAAAAAAAAAAAAAAAAACATTTTCAACTCAATACTCCTTGCTAACTAACACGCATATTCTGGTGAAGGTCTGAGATTACTTTCTAAAGATCCCGGCTAATAAATTAGCTACCAGTACCAGCTCCATCTGCTGAGCTGAGCCATACAACATTTTCCTCACAAAGGGCTCTCCAACCGCCCTGGCTTCCCCCGGGAGATCTAGTGAGGGACATTCGGTCAACAGGTGCGCTAGTGTCTAAGGGACTAGGCTGCAATGCCGGCAGGTAAGATCCCTATTTTTATCGAGCCGCCAGAAATATGTGCCAATGGGGCAATGCTCGGTGCGCATTTGCGTCACTAAGCTTTGCCGTCTGCGGCCTAACTCCCACCATGGGTCTTGTTTGCTAGGAGTTGGTAGGTTTGAAAAGACGCCTCTGGCAGTCATGCTGTCTGCCCATTGCATGTACCACTTTGTCATGAAATGGTCTGCCAGCCAGTTCTTAATTCCCAAATAAGATAATGGTACTTGTGGCTGAGGCTGGGCAGCCCCGGTTTTCGCCAGAGTGTCCGCTTTCTCATTAGCGCTGATGTTGACATGACCTGGGATCCACTGCACTGTGACCTTGCCTCCTAGTTCACTGATTTTGCACACGTCATCAAAAATGACGTCATTAAGTGAGTGTTGCCTGGTATCTTTCTCTCTCAAGATCTCAAGAGCAGATCTAGAGTGTGAGAACACGATCGCATCGAGCCCCGCAAGTTCCGTCTCTTTCAATGTGTAATACACTCTCTATAGGGCCTTGTGAATAGCCTCAAGCTCCGCATCGAAATTAGATGCTGCAGTCTCACAGGGCCCCGAGAGCTCTTCATTCGGTGGTCCCCCTGCTGGGTATAGTATGAGCCCACCATACCCAGAGGTTCTTTCTCTCAGATTGGCAGAGCCGTCCTTGAATATTTTCACTGGTATGTTGGAAAACACAGCCATGGTCTCTAGGGCAGCCACTTTCTGAACATGTACACGGCTGTGTTTGGTCACTGCTGCATCGGTCAAGGCCAAATGTATGGAGGGACATGAGGGTTTCGTATATGGCGGATTGACTGGGATTTGGGTCAGACGTTCTCTTTTGCGAGGCAGGTCGACTGTTCTCTCAAGCTCCACGACCTGGTCCATGAAAGAAGATCGCTTTAGTCTCCTGCCCGCCACCCAGTTTTCTTGCATCTGAAACAACGGTTCCGTCTCGTTCAGCCGTCGGTACTTATCTACGGTACTTAATATTGCTTTTTCTATCCTTATTTGTAATGGTTCTACATTGACCAAGACCTCTACAGCAGCTGTGGGTGTGATCCTGAATGCGCCACAGATGAATCCCAGAGCCTGATTCTGGATTCGGCCCAACTTTTCCAATGCGGTTTTGCTAGCAAAGGCTTGGACTGGCATGCTGTAATCCATCACCGACCTTACACTGCCTAGGAATAGAGCTCTAAGCGTTCTTGCGCCCGCACCACAACTTGTGCATGCCAATTTTTTCACCAGATTGACCTTGGCGGTTGCCTGGGAGCAGAAGTCTTGTACAAAAGTATGCATTTGCACCTTTTGATCCAATTTGACTCCCAGGTAAACAGGTTGCTTGTCCCATTTGAGCGCTACATCGCCCACCCTGAGCTCGATCTCCTGTTTGAGAATGGTCCGCCCGTTGGTAAAGAATGAACAAACCGTCTTCTCAGTGTTGATTTCCCTGTGCTACCGCCGCATGTACCTGTTAATAGCAGAGAGGTCTTGCTGAAATAGCGTTTGCAGGCGGTGGACATCCTTACCGGTGCTCCAAATGACCAAATCGTCGACATACATAGCGGCACTAGTTGCTAAATTAAGTGGCAAGTCATTGATGTAGGCTAGGAAAAGAGTGCAACTGAGGGCTGACCCTTGCGGGAGCCCTTATTCAAGGGTTCTTTTCCTGGAGGTTTCGCTGAAGAATTTTGTGTTGATTGTCCGGTTTGTGAGAAAACCAGAAATTCTGTGATCAACACTAGGTATTTCTAAATCATTCCCTTCACCCCCACCACCCCCCATCTTGAAAATGAGGCAATCTTATTTATTTCCGTGTGCACCAAATGTCCTCAGTCCGCCTCTGATTGTAAAGCATATCCTACAAAGATTAATGGCACCCGTCCGTCACAATGAGACGATAGTGTAGACTTCGCAGGACGAAATAACAAGGCGGGGGATTTTTTACGACTGGTTTCCTCGACAGCACCTGGACAAACCCATGGCAACATAATATGTGGATGATACAGCGTGGCACCTATTGCGTCGCAGGAGTTGTCATACTTTACTTATATTAATGTCGACGTTTTGGTACTCTTTCTCCGGGTTTTGATTCAGAGTTTCCCAGGTGCTGATGCTGTTGTTTTTTTGGCTTGATTCGGTCTTTGGCGGGGCTTGAGCTTGGGACTGACTCACTTTACATCACTCGACCACTCAACCACCAAGCACCCTACAAGTATAAGGTCTTTATTTTTTAATACCTTAACCCGGTCTACGAACAGTAAATGGACTAAAAGCTTCACTCTAATTGATGGACATCGACCTGAATTCGTGGGAAACACTTGCACGGGATCGTACAAGCTGGCAAGGAAGAGTCACTGTTGGAGCACAATCCAAGCACTGCTTACTCCCAAAGAAAGGCACAACAAGGAAAAGCAGAATTCCCCCAAAACACGTGTGTCCTACGAGTAGGAAAGCTTTCTGGCCACAAATAAGACTGGCAGGCCGCCTGTGTACTCAACGTCGAACATACCATTATTCATCTTCGCATACGAAGGACGAGCAACAACAAATGGTCTGTGTTGAGATTCAAATACTAGAACGACCGGTTCGATACCCCAACGAAAATATGTAATACAAGGCACGGGAAAACCTGAATTAAAGAACACAAAAAGAAAAAAAAAAACTACTCATCACCTAGGATCTTTTTTTGTGTTGTTGTGACGTCATTATGAATTACATTGTGTCACCCAGTGCGGCAGACTCATGCTGTCAAATACTCCCGACTTCCCCACGGGCATGGACATCCTTCAAGTCTGTCTGCTCTGATGACACCCTGCTCTTGTATTTAACTTAGAGCTGTTGTGAAACAAACTCTGTCAAATTTGTATTTTTTTCTCTTGGGTGTCCCCCCCCCCCACACTTTTTTTTACAACCTTATATATTATATATAAGCCTATAATATTTACGTATTTTGATCCACATTTTTAAGAATTCTATCCAGGAAATCTTAATTCAAGGTCTTGTCCAGTTAATTCCCGCAGATATTTATTTATTTTTTAAGGTTCAATCACCCGGATAAGAATTTGTCTTTGCAAGCTAAATAAAGTTGGCAGTCTTTTAAAACCTTCCCCTTCTCTCTACACACCCACGAGGAAAGGCTTCTATAGCGGGCATATATGGGCACATCAGACTGGCTCTATAAAAAAAGTCACAGCTTGGGGGGCACAGCTACCATGGCAACTGTCAAATTCGTTACTGCAATTTTTTCCAGTAAAATTTAATAGTTGATTTTTAATACAATCACCACTAAATTTTCTTACATTTTTGTTAAAAAAGATTCAACCAGTTTAATTTTTGTTTATTTTTATCAATGTTGAAAGCGGCATAAGAATGGGGGGGGGGGGGGGGGGGGGGGGGGGGGGGGGGGGGGGGGGTTTTTTTTTTTTTTTTGGGGATTGGATGGGGGGGGGGGGGGGGAGAGAGAGGGGAGATGGCGGTCTGGGCATTTTTTTCTTTATCTGCAGGCCACATTTTCGCTGACTGCAGATTTTTTTTTTGTGTGGAAGTGGGAGTCAAAAATTTGGGCTTGCCCTGGGCGGCACTAACCCTGGCTACGCCACTGAATGTATATCAACACAACACAGTATGAAATATTTGATAAACACGTTTATTGAATAATATATCTTAATATCACCATAATCAAAGGCAAGTTATACATCAACATTTCTGTGTTGTACAGTATCAATATCAAAAACATTTGTAGACAACTTGAACATAAGCTTATAAACACAACTAACAAATACATTTACACTGCATAAAATAGGGCCTAATACCATGGTGGGTGACCCTCGACCCTATCACCAATAGACACATATGGCAAAAAGACCATGGATGTGTATTGAAATACACAAAAAAATGTTTTTAAAGTTATATCAAAAATATTATTCCATTTAGGTAAAACTTCCTCAGAGGGAGGGGGTTTGTGGAGAAATCATTAGCGCTGTAATGTGAACGCATTTCAGTTTGTAATTCATTTCATTTTAAAATTGATATTTCAAGCAAAGATATGGTCGCATTTAAGTCATTAAACAAATTTTAATTTGAAGAGAAATACCCACTCTTACCCTTCCACAAATAATGTAGGAAACTATTGTACTTGACAGGGACTTGGAACATTGAAATGTGGAGTTTCAAAAATATTTTACATTTTGAATTGCCATGGTTATGTGCCATGGTTATGTGCCATGGTTATATGCCATGGTTATGCGCCATGGTTATGTAAAACATCATGCTCTACATTCATTCATTTCCCTGTAGTCAATTTACATGTTAATCTAAAGGCTGAGATGAACATGGTGTTCTAAAACACGGCTGAAATTATGGCCATTACCTTCAGCCAAAGGATTGTCATATTTTGTTTTAAATTGAAAGGTGAAGAAGATCATTAATTAAGAAATTTCCTTTTAAAAGTAATTTTCTTTTTTTTTTAGTTTGCCCCAACTGCAGCTGTATTGGATATATCAACTGTTGTTGTATTGGATACATCAATTTCAGCCTAATAGGATATATTAACTGCAGTTGTATTGGATGTTTCAACTGTGGCTGTATTATTATTTCAACTCTTGAAGAAACCCTAGAAAAAAAAACATTTTATAAAAATAAAATAAAAGGTGGTGGGGTGGGTGGGTAGTCATCAGAAAAGCGCCATTGCTTGAGTGATGTAACACAATAATTGTTCTGTGTCCACAGATGAAGCAGTGTTTCATAATGTGCATTGACTAGCTGCAACAAATTACTTACAATTTATTGATTTTCATTTTGGGAACATGGACATCACTTTCTAAGTGTTTGTGAACTATTATATTTCTAAAAATTGAATATTTGTATAGAGCCTTTGTAAATTTCATACAAAGGGTTAAATAAGATAAATCAGAGACCCAGTGGGGACACTGGACTGTGATGTAAAACAGGTGTGGAAGGAGGCTACAGTATCAAATCTAAAAAAAAAACTGCTATGAAAATATAGATTTTGTTCTGTTAATTTTCTGCTGAAGGTTAGCAATTTTCTCATCTAATGCAGCTATTCCAGTAGTGAATGCATTGTCATCCATGCTTGACAGACCATTGTTGTTAAAAGATGGATTCGCTTGATCTGTGTCAGATATTGAGCTCAAAGATTCAGAAAATTCCGTGCCTTGGAAAAAGTCTCTCTGGGAGATGTTTTCATTGTCGGTGCTGCCTTTAGTGGCTCTCCTTGAAAAGGAGGTATCGGAAGTGCACAGTGGAGAGCTGTGTGACTGGAGGGTGGATAGTCCGTTGAAGAACTGGGAATCAAGAGACTGGCGTGGATTCTGAGGCGAGTCGGTGGTTACATTGTCATCAAACTTAACAGTGTATCTGCTGTTGTCATGGTGATGACCAGGGGAATACGGTGGCTTCTCTCTTGTTCTATCGTTGGACTTAATTTTATAGAAATCCAAATGAGCTAAATCTGAATCTTTGAACTGATATCTGCGACTTGTGCCCTGGTACTGATTGGAATAAAATCCAGAATGATGTTGGTCATAGTGATCTGTATGTTGAAAATTAGAAATTCTGTCTGGGTATGAGCTAGAGCTTGGTTCGACTAAAATATCGTCACGCTGTATCAGGGTGTTAGTGCTATCCGAGTAGTGTCTGTCTCTGTTAGTTTTATCCGAGTAGTGTCCGTCTCTGTTAGTGTTATCCAAGTAGCGTCTGTCTCTCGACCGAGTGGGGCATGTCGGGATGTGATCTTCATGTTGGGAGAAATCGGTCCTTTGATGAAAAGTCTGCTGCTTTTTAGCCTTGGGGTGGGTCTCCTTTGATGAGTGAGGTGTTAATGATTTCTGGGACTGGGAAAGAGCCGAATGAAATGAATCTGTTATGATCTCGTTGTCCAGTCTCTGTGGTTCTGAGATTTTGGGTCTATGTGTTGATGAATAGATATTCTCCCGAGGAGGGTGTCTGTAAACATCTTTCTTGGTCTGATGTGAATCATGTGTGAGATCGTGAGTGAGTTCATGCTCTTGATAAGAGGACTTGGACCGGTGGGATTTTCCTTTCCCACTGGTGTCATACCGATAAGGTGATTTTGCTAGCGGTTCTGACCTCAATGTAGAGTACGGTGTCATGTCCTCTAGGTACACCATCCTGTCATCATCACTAGTCACAGGTGACCGAGGAATGGTCTCTGATCTGAGAGTTGAATACTGTGTATCAACACTGCCTCCTTGGTGCTCTCTTGAATGACTGACGTCCCTTGGGTGTCCGGTGGTGCCCCTGGCAGGAGGCTGATTGAAATTTGGCAAAAATTCTGACTCTTTAAAGTGAGAATCCCTGTCATAGTTCCCTTCACTGATGTTAACTTCTTCCATTGATTGAATAATTGGCACAGCTGCAAGGCCCTCATTGTTTTCAACAGCGTGGCTTCTGGCACTCAGGCGCATCTCTGTGTTTGTATACCTGGCATGTAAATCACTCTCGCTTTTTCTTCTCTCCCGCACCTCAGGTACGACTCTTGAACTTTCTATGTAATCTCTTTCATGCTGTCTTGATCTTTCATTGCCCACAGAAAATTTCAGATTATCGACAAGATCATGATATGGGTGATCCTGATTTTGATTGCTGTAGCGTTTTCTCTGGTGTTGACTTTCCCGGTTAAGTTCAAGTTCAGAATCTGAATGATAAGGCTCATTGTCAAACACGAGAGGCATTGCCGGGCCATCATCAAGACTGTGCCATAAGGTCCGATCTACCGGAGACAAGCGCCGATTGTGCTCCTCAAGAACTTCAGGGGTTAATCGAGCAATGCGCCCTGGAAAATTAAAATTGTAAAATTTAATGGAGCGTGGGTTTATCATTTGTTTTGAAAATTTTGAATGAGATTTAAGCCATTTTCAAGTTTAAAGAGTTACATTTTCACTGTGTACTTCAAATGAACACAAAGAGAAACATATGGTATTACTTCCTAGATTTAGAATTGTATCATTTATAACCAACAAATACAGAAACACCAGTCTAAATACATTCAACGTATACAATTTGGATTGAGCTTGTCAAACTATAATCTTCTATTTATTTAGTGCTTTTGTAGGGTATTGGTCATTGGGTGCTGATGCAATGTTATTCAGAGACATTAATTTCATGAGCTTTGAGAGTTTTATAAAAGCATTGTGATAACACGCTTTAAATTAAAAAGTCATAATTAATGACTGTATAATTAATAACTGTATAATTAATGACTGTATAATTAATGACTGTATAATCAATGACTGTATAATTAATGACTGTATAATTAATGACTGTATAATTAATGACTGTATAATTAATGACTGTATAATTAATGACTGTATAATTAATGACTGTATAATTAATGACTTATGACTGACCATGTCGCATTCTAAATGCCCCCATATTTTGATTACTTTGCATGCAATTCTCAACTAATGTTGCTAAATATGATAAAGTCTGTGAAAAATAAGAGGGCGGGGAAGAATGAAAAGAAATTACGCTAGGAACCTGAATGATCGTATTGTACGCAAGCTCAACTGTCATAATTCCCTTATGACACCATATATTATTTGACTCCAAGTCTACAAACCTCTCTTTTTCTCATCTCTTGATGTAGACCCGCAACACTGTTCTTTCTTCTGGCTTCTGTCTTTCTTCCCTATTTCTTGAGAATTTTTCTGACCTCTAGCAGATTTGGGATAAATTGGCTGTGGCTTGATTGGAAGTTTGACTTTAGAATTTTTCTTTGATGTTGCAGGCCCTTTGAAACCTTTTGGTTGTGGTTGCTTAAATGTTGCAGATCTTTGATCATCTCTCATATGGTGATCCTGGTAGTTCGACTTCATGCTGCCAAAAGAACTGTTTGAGAAGGCAATTTTCGACAATTTATCTTATTATTGAAGAGATTACTTAAAAATAAATACAAGGATTTCTTTAAATCTTTGACTTTCTACAGAGTCTTACATGTCTAAAGCAAAGTCTAACGTCGTATTGTGATATCAGCATCGAATGTCATCGTGGAAAGAAACATAAAATAATAAACTTATTTTCTAGGAATTGTCTCATTTTCAATATTCATTATTAAGTAATAAGCTAACAATATTATAAATGTTTTTTTTAAATCTAAATATCTTTTACATTACTGTTATGCCCCCACCCCACCCCACCCACACGCATGGTGATCACTATAATTGTCTGTTCTAGAACTACAACTTTAAAATTGCCAACATTGCACATGTGTTTCTGCTCACCCGTATTGCTCTGGGTGAACCATCTGTCTGAGGTTATCTATACCTTGCCTTTGTGTGCTAGTAGTTCCATGACTTGCGCTGGCCTCATAAGCTTGGAGAACATGATCAACTCCAATCCTAAGTGAGCTATATACAAAAAAAAAATGAATGAAGTATAAATTAACAACATCTTGATGAAGTAACCATTGGCCAACCAACAGCTTACCTTTACCAACACAATAATATAGATTTCTCCCCCCCCCCCCACACACACACCCCTCCCCCGTTCATAAGTGGCTGAATCTTACTAACACTTTTGATGAGAATGGCTGTGGGTACAAAAAATTGTAGAGGTAAAAATGTATTTACTGTGTTTTCTTAACATCTTAATGTGGTTAACCAAATTTAGAGCTTAAATCAGTTGATCTGTTCCAGTTTGATTTAAATTAGAACGTTGGAGTGATGTTATTTCTTTTCACCAGTACGGTGAATGTATGTATTCAAGCCATGATAATGAAATCTTTTAAAACTTTTGATGAGAATGGCTGTGGGTACAAAAAATTGTAGAGGTAAAAATGTATTTACTGTGTTTTCTTAACATCTTAATGTGGTAAACCAAATTTAGAGCTTAAATCAGTTGATCTGTTCCAGTTTGATTTAAATTAGAACGTTGGAGTGATGTTATTTCTTTTCACCAGTACGGTGAATGTATGTATTCAAGCCATGATAATGAAATCTTTTAAAACTTTTGATGAGAATGGCTGTGGGTACAAAAAATTGTAGAGGTAAAAATGTATTTACTGTGTTTTCTTAACATCTTAATGTGGTAAACCAAATTTAGAGCTTAAATCAGTTGATCTGTTCCAGTTTGATTTAAATTAGAACGTTGGAGTGATGTTATTTCTTTTCACCAGTACGGTGAATGTATGTATTCAAGCCATGATAATGAAATCTTTTAAAACTTTTGATGAGAATGGCTGTGGGTACAAAAAATTGTAGAGGTAAAAATGTATTTACTGTGTTTTCTTAACATCTTAATGTGGTAAACCAAATTTAGAGCTTAAATCAGTTGATCTGTTCCAGTTTGATTTAAATTAGAACGTTGGAGTGATGTTATTTCTTTTCACCAGTACGGTGAATGTATGTATTCAAGCCATGATAATGAAATCTTTTAACATGCTTGAACTTAGTAAAAAAAAAACCAATAGAAATAGTTTTAAGCTGATCAAATTGACTCACTCGACAAGGTCCTGTAGGCGGATCATTTCATGATCCTTTTTCAGAGAATTTGCCTCACAGATAAACAGCTTCTCATTTGCGGCTGTAAGCTTGTCTTTGTAATCATCAATTTCCAGGTCTTTGCATTTCAGACGTTGTTCAAGGTTGGAGATTTGCTTGTCAGCCACTGAGAGCTTGTAGTGGACTCCTTGAGAGTTTTGAGTGGCCTGATCCAGTGCCTGCAGCAATGATTTCTTCTCTGTAAGATGTTTCTCATTCCTTTTCAGCAGTTCATGATCCTTTATCAGAAAACATTGTTTGTAAAAGTGAATATATTTTAATTATGTTAAATGGATCTGTATGTTTATGTAATGAATAAAAACAATAAATGTGTGAATGATTAACAAGGATAAATTGTTGTTCGTCTATTAGGTATTTAACTATGGGGTATATGACCCTTTTAAAGCCATGCAATCAATAGAGGGCTCTTTGCCTTTTCTCAAAATATAAGCAGATTTTCTTCGACAGAAAAGATTAATGAAAGTACATTTTTAGTTACATATTTTAGTTTATGGTGTAGGTTGCCTTCTCTTTACATTAGAAATAAAATATTTTTTCAATAAATATTGGTGCCATGGATGGACCTGTGACTCCTCTTTAAGAGGAAGATGCACCTCCATAGCGCCAAACCTTTTGTCCAATAAAATTAAGAAAATTTAATAATGGCACAGTCAAAAAAATTAACTGAAATGTAAGCACCTTCATGCTGATGGTTTTCACTAGATCCTGTTGAGTGGTCAGCCATCTTGCCCTCTCCTCTAAAAGATTAGTCACCTGACTGTCAAGCTTTTCTTTTTCTTGCTTAAGAAACATATTTTTCCTTTCAAGTTGTGACACTGAAAGAATTATAGAAAATTAGAGTAAAATCAAAAGGGTATAAGGACACGTTTTTTTTATAGATATATTAATTATCAAAAATTAAAAAATACTATTTTTCAAATTTGTTAAATATTAACAGCAAGACAAATCAATTATTTCCCTATGTAAAAAAGCAATAGATTTTTTGGGTTAAAATACTGACCATCCTTTTGAGACTGAACATACATTCTTTCTTCAATTTCTTTAGCTTCCAATTGTTGACTAAGAACCTGAATTCGCCTTGGGGAAACCAAATGTTTACAATTCATATTGCAGTAAGTTTGAAATATATATTAAATTACTCCTCAAATTATTCTCTTTTGTTGTTACATAAAAAGCACATTTAAAGCCAACACAAGGCCTTCATATTTAGTTTACAAAAAAAAAAAAAACAACGTTTGTTATGATTACTGAAATGTTACATTAAGAAATGGCGTCAGCAGGGCGAGTCTAGACTCTTATGCCCCCCCCCCCCAAATTACCCCTCCCCGGTCCGACGTATCGGGCCGCGGAGCGGCACGTTGGAGATGCCCACTTGTCAGGACAGCCCCCACACGGGCCCCTCACCCAAGTCCCCCGCCTGGGCGCTTGACCAGGACCCCGCCTGGGGGCCGCCCCAACCAGGAGGCACCCGGTCGATCCGACACTATGCGTTTAAATAGTGCACTCGATCGACTTTCTCAGGAGTTGGGATGGAAAAATTTACGTTTTAATATCTTCCCCCACCCATCCCGGGAAAGCGTCGGACGCCCTATTAGAGGGATTCCACAGTGGGCTTCCACAACGCGACTAGTTCACGCTGTAGCTGGGACGAAATGGTTGCCTAGGGGCAGCGTTCTCATGGCTGCATTTTTTGAATCCTCGGCCAGAGGTTACCACCCTCGCCTCTGGCCTCATACCCGTCATTCATATTGCAGTAAGTTTGAAATATATATTAAATTACTCCTCAAATTATTCTCTTTTGTTGTTACATGAAAAGCACATGTAGTCATGTAGTTTTATGATTACTAAATTAATCTAACCCTCTCTACGTAAGTAAAATAATATTTTGGAAAAAAACAACAAATATTTTGGCAATATCACTATCGCAGAGATAACAAATACATATTTCTAATACTGCAGAGATGACAGATACATACATCTCCTAGATGTATATTGGCCTGTGTTGTTTATGGTTGCAAGGGATGAAAGACTTAGAATCGGTATTCTCACATGTAGTTTTTGTAATGTTGCGTTTTGTATTTCAATGTAGTATAATATAATTTTTTTTTTCATTTCCCTTTTAATATGGTTGAATTTGTACAGCACTTCGAGCCTTTGGGGATGAAGCATGATTTTCAAATAAACAATAATACTCCAGATATGACAGATACATACTTCTTTAATTTATTATTCTCTTCTGAAAAGTACAATTCAGAGTCCTTACACCTGGCATTTTCTCTGCCCAGTGCTGCATCGGTGTGGAAAATCATGTCATCGATGAGGTCTCGCAGCTCAACATCCCCTGGTTAAAGACAAAAATTAATGTCCGTATGAACAGAGCTTCATTTAATCAGATCACTCATATAACAAGGACCAAGTCCATTGTTCTGCAAAAATCATTTTTAAATACTTCGGTTTTCCCATATTTTGTTTATCTCATTTCCTTTCACCTAACCTGATTGCATTCTCTCCGCCTTATTACCTAGTTCAGAAACGAGCCTTGGACATGGAGCACCACTTTTGGACCGGCCAGTGGGGGGCTCAGAAACTAGCACTGGTCATGGAACACCACTTTGAGAAGAATGCTCTACACCAGTATTTTCCTAACTTTCAAGTTTGACAGACCGGTGAACAAGCATTAAAATTTGAACCAGACAGGTGCCAGATTTATTAACTATATTTTATTTTTAATTGACCATAAAATATACATGTTGTGCAAACTGGCAATGTAAGGATACATTCAGCGGAAAACCATTTGAGGATCACTGCTCTATACAACATTTTTAAACTTTGTGTATAGGTGCAAGATACAATTAATGCAAACATTTGAACAAGTTTACATTGAGCGTAGTTTCTGAAGTTGTGAAATAAGTAGTGTTTGTCACAGTCCTTGCAGTACAGTGCTCAATGGGGTCTGTGCTAAAAACCTCTACCTCAACTACATGTTACGCTTTTCTGAGAATCATAAACTTGACTAAAATATATTATTATTTTGGTCAACAAGAGTATATGATCTAATCTTAAGTTTAAAGGATGTAACTATAAATAAATTTAAAGAATAGATGTGAAACTATGGTTTAATGTGCTCAAGCAAACTTTAAAAGACAACTTTTTAAAACTTCTTTGTCATCGAGGAGGTGTGAAGTTTATTAATTTTTTTAAACTTTAAAATAAAATACTGACTATCAAATTTTGAGCCCAGAGCACATGCCTTATCAGAACCTCCCTTGTTCCCAGTATATGCTTACATAAAAGGCTCATACTTACTAATAGCCGTGGCTTTGAATGTCAGACGGCAGGCGATATCCCGAAGAGTCGGATCTGGCATGCTCTCCAAGTACTGCAGATTTCTTGGCCTTTGCTTTTGTTGAGGTGAGTTTTCATCCTCACTATCACTGTTATAATTCTGATTTAGATCATCATCGTTTTGCTTGTGTTTTTTCTCCAGTTCACCGCCCTCCTTTTCATTTGCTTTCAAAGTATCATTTAGGTCATCTACTTCCTCAATTGGGTCTATTTGACTCTTGTTGATAGAAATGATTTCTTCAGATTTCAGCCTTGGAAGATAGTGACTCATTATTTCATTCAAACTCTCGTCTTCGGATAAATCTCTCTTTTCTGTCTGCGGTAGAACTATTCTCTCCATCTCATTACTCTTTTCTGAGATGACGGCTTCGGATAACTGGATATCTTCATATTGCTTGTCCCTGTTCATATTGAAGGCATCACTTTTCAAAAATTCAATGACCTGACTCAGATGAGATGAGCCGCTGGATGCTGATACATCGAGTGATTTGACTTCAGGGACATCTTCCTTTCTAACAATCTCTCGTTTGCTCAAAGGTTCGCTAATGACATTACTGACTTCCAAATCACAGGTATCCGCAGATGAATCCAAGACCTGTGTGGGGACTACAATCGGATTGTTCACTTTATCAGGTAAAGTTTCCTCTGGTGAAGCAGGTGATGAAATTTTGTTTTGGGCATTGTCATTTTTCTGTGTGACCTTGGCACCTTCAGTTGGGCCAAGAAAGTGCTCTCTTGCATTGGGGTTCAAATTTATTTTTTTCTTCTCTTTCAGGGATTCAGTGTTAAGATTTTGTTTGCTCAGTGTTGCAGACCTGACTTTGGGGTGAGACTGTTTTTGATTGGTCACCATTTTAGACACCTGTGATTCTCCAATTTTTTTAAACCCTTTTCTCATGACACTTGAGGCATCAGTTGTTTGCAAAGCTGAAAGTTCATCACCTGCTTTTACGGCAACACTGATTCGCTTACTTCCTACTTTTTCTGGAACAGAAAATGCACTCTCTGAGTTATGTAAATGAATTGAATTTTTCAGACTACGGCTAACGTTATCATTTTCGAGTGCTTCCACCATTGTAGTAGATTTCTGTGCTTGTAATTCTGTTTGGACAGTTGGTGTGTCATCTAGGGTTGTTGCTGAACTCAGTGGGTGATATCCTTCTGAACCATGTGAATCTTGGCTGAGACTCCTAGAGGGAACTGATACTTTTTTCAAACTAGCCAAATTTACGTTACCATTTATTTGTACTTCTTCAACCCACTCTGCCTTCGTCACAGCTAGTGGAGGAGTTGGTGACTTAGGTTGGTGCTGGCTCACAGCCGCAGCACCAAATTTTGCTATGGTTTTAGAAAATGAATTTTCATTTGGCCAGTCCTGGTGAGCTTTCTGTATATCTTTCTGACGCGTTTCATTATGAAGCACCTGCTGTTGAAACATTTGACGCTGGTGCCTTAACCTTTCACTGAGCCCACCACCAAGGGAGGTTAGAACGTCAGGCATATTCATTGACCCTACATCTCTTTCAGGAATCATCTGAGCTTCAGTTGGCTTGGATTGTGTTTGACGTTGCAATCTATCATTAAAACCAAATATTTGCTGATCTAATAGGTCCACTTCTATCAAACGCTCAGGGTCAGGTGTAGAAGATACAAGCCTTTTATTAAAGGGCGTGCTGACATCTGGCAAATCAAAGCTTCCAAATGGTGTCATTCTTTGAGAAACTAGTCAGGTAAAATAATAATTTAAAAAAAAACATATTAAAATATGTACATTTTGTACTTGCTTGCATGTCTGACAGAGTTAATGTATTACCATATATTTAATATGGTCACCAAGTGACCGATTTTAAAGAAACAAAGTCAACCACATTTTAAAAAATAATAATAATACAAGAAAAAAAAATTTAAAATATATCAAGATTTATGACATTATTTAAGATGATATACTGATAAGAAATGAAATTGTTTTTCTCACATCTTTTTTTAAAATATTAAAAATTAGTTTTCTGTTTCAGGAGGCAACCCCACAAAAACCTCAGAAATCGCATATGGGGTTGCTAACATTTTGTTGGGAACCATGGGTGTAAAGCATACCATTTGAACTAGTGGATGGCAGGCAAGATAATTCAGATTTCATTTGTTCTTCCTGTAGTTGCATCTGTGTCAAAACCTCAACCTCTCGTTCATCTATTTTCTCAACATTTATCAATTGCTCCTTGTTAGAGCCAAAGTCTAAAATAAAGTTAATGTTAAACCAATAAAATATATTTTTAATGTCATGCCAAATTTTGTTTGTAAGTGTTTGTTTGGCCTAAGTTCGTTGCTGAGTTCTGTTATAGTTATTGATCTAAAATGAATAAATTATTGTAATGACAACTCTAGCATTTATTAGAGTATTAAAGTTTTCAGTGGCCAAATACTATTTATTTAGTTTTTAAAAACTCCTGTTGCGAAAGTTCACAGATTAATTTCTTAGTTTTATAACTCATTTAGAAAGAAAAATAACTCAGTTCTACCTAAGAATATTATATCAATAATTTCATTGCTTTATGTGGAAATTTTAATACGTTTAACAAGTTTTAATACCTTTTATTTAAGAAAATTTTTACCTTTTTGTGTTGCAGCTTTCAATTTGTCCTCTTCTTGTTCTGACTCAGAGTACAGAGAAAATCCAGGTTTAGACTTTAGTGGTACATGGCCTGCAGGTTTTCTAGCCTGCCTAATCGAATGAAAACATCAACATTAATTAAAACATTTTTTGCAAGATAAATTATTTATTTTATTTTGGCTTTCATTTACCATTAAGAATGAAAACTTAATAAAAGTAAAACTTCTTAAGCTAATTAGGCTTATTATAACTTTTGTATTTAAAATGTTTAGAGAAAATCAAAATTTAAAATTCATATTATTTAAAAATCAACTTACTTTTTGCTCATGCGACCTTTATCAGGTAGTTTGGTTGTCTTTGGATTAACTCTCTAAAATCAGAATGTCAAAAAATGTCTCAAAACTCTAGTATCACTGAAATGAAGTATTCAAACTTTAACCCTCTTGAACTGGAACTTTTTTTGAACTTTTTTGGATTCTTGTTGCCAAGAAGACACCACCCTTTTCACAAGCCCACCACTTATATATATATATATATATATATTATTGTAGTAAACTTAATAAACTAATACAATCTTTATGAACAAAATGAAATCTCAAAATTTATGCAAAACCTGATTTACATAATATATGCAAGCATTTTTTTTTACACCTTGTTCACTTAGAATAAACATGTCTTACTTGCAGAGTTTTTGTGAATTTTCTGAGTGTTCAAGCCTAAATTAGTCCTAAGAAACATCTGAGTGAGATTTTATGCAAAAAATGCATAAAATATTCTACTGGGGGTGCTTATGCATGGTGGCATTTGTCTTGGATCTTTATTTTGTAAGCATTTATAAGGGTTTTGGTTCCAAACAAATTGATATAAATTTACAAAACACCATAAATTATCAATGGCAACTGCCATTTGAATAACAAGATGAGCAAGATATGGGAGAGTAATCTGATTATCTGGTAGGAAGACCAATCAGCCAATATCAAAGCTTGTGTTATGTGGCTGATGGATCGGCCCCTCGCCTTATTTTCCATTCGGCTCTTGGGCCAATAGATCATCCCAAAAGGGTTAAGATACAGCTTCATAATAAAATAATAAATTATTAATTATTTACATTGCGGTTTATCCTTTTAACTCACAAAAAAAAAGTCTCATGTTAATTCGAAGTGCATTTTAAAAAAAAAATTAATAGATTATTTGCCAGATTAAAAGTTGAATAGACAAATACCTTTGAAGAGCCAGCTTCATCATGTTTTTTACCCATTTTCGTCAACTTTTCTATAATGGACCAAATGACTTGAACTGCTTATTACATACAATTTCCTGAAAAAATTTGAGCGTGGTAGAAAATTAACTGAAATAACTAAAACCATAAAATAAGAAGCACAAATCTTATGTTAGGAAGTTTGGATCTATTCAGTGGAGCCTAAGAATGTTGTTTCAGAATTACAATAGACAGAGCAAGCAACAAATTTAGCGTCAGAGAGACTTCACCAAGTAATATATAATAAGTGAAGGTATTAGAAAAAGCTCAATTCAAAACATATAATCGATATCTTGTTTGTTAATTATTTTAATATCGTATTTGCCAGCATATAGGACCCAGCACATCTCATATTTAGGCTGAGTTTGAAGGGAATAAGTGTGTCACAAATTCCGTTAATTATTTTAATGTTAAAACCTATTATCTGCTCTCTTCTTTGATTATTTGTCTAAACAATTAAAAAACTTATGCACTTATCACTTTAAGCTTAATTTGCCATTTCAAAGAAATTATTATAATCAAGTAGTTTTAAAATAAGAAGTTCAAGGTTTGACATAAATGAATGGATCTTGGTTTGTCCCCAATTTCAAATATCAGGAGGGTATATTGGGCTCATACCCAGCAGTGAGGTTATCCTAGGAAAGAAGGAATGAGGGGGGAGGGGGGGGGGTTGAGAGGGGGGCGTGAAGACACAGCGTTTAAAAACTAGGCATGAATGATAATTTACCTGTCTGTGCTATCATAGACCTAACGCACACACACAAAAAGAAGTGTACACTACGCCTATACTAATAATAAAATCAGTTTCATATAAGGCCCTCAGCCTTGGCCTAATTATATGGGTCCAATAATTCAAAAGATTTCTATTTACTTTTACATTATTTATTTATATATTGTAGTTGGTAACTACATAATGGGATGTTAACTTGATTGAATGAGTAAAGTTATGAATATTATTATCGAAATAAACTTTGGTCAATTTACTCTTTGCGACACACCTTGAGTTTCTGTATATGAGTGAGCTCCCCTTTTTAAGGTGCAGATTTTTACTTGAGTTAACTATTTTTTATATATATATTAATACACTGACAAAATATAACTTATAATTAATAAAGATATTTGAAAACGAGTTTGCTGTCTAAGTCTGATCATCTGATAAATAGATTTTGACTTAATTGGAAAAGTGTATTTGATGAAACTGTAATTTGGGTTTATTATTTGAATATTTTAATTTATAAATAATTTTTATCTTTGTATTAAAATTTATGATTTTTCTCAGTACAGTTTGTAGCTCCAGCACATGAACAGCTGGTTTTATGGTTCATGTTAGGTCTTAGATTTTAGGATTGAAGATTTACGGCACCCTCAAGTTTGGGGGACTAAATTTTTTTCAGGGTTAATTTACGTTTAAGTTGGGGGTACTAAATTTAGGGGTTAATTAAAATTTGAGTTAGGGATACTGACTTAACATTCAGGTTAGGCAGGGTTGTAGATGTTTGTATTTACATTTTGCAAGTTATTATTTTCTTATTATATATTTTTTTCTTAAATTGGGGAGGGGTATTTGGGAGGGATCTCCCCTCCCCAGAGAATTTCTATGTTTCTTATTTTGGTATTTAAAGCAAGGGGAGGGGTTTGGGGTGGGGTCTCCCCTCCCCAGTTCCTAGAAGATCATTACAAATGCAATTTAATTCAGCTGTATTTTCCTTTTGTTACCTAAATACAGGTATTTTGATTTCAACTAATTAAAAT